ATTTTTAAAGCTTGAGGAGAACGAGACATTTAAGACCGAGAAAAAACTTCTTCAACTCCATTTTTCAAGATTTGACGGCTTATTTAAATCTCTTTTTTGGAAATAACGTCAGAAGTTTTGTGGTTGCTAGCTTTCACCCAAAAACAGATTATTATTAGCACGTAAACCTGACAGATAGCTATATGATTATCCACATACACTACCACTAATAATTAATTTACTAGCTAGGAAAGACTTAGCAACAAGGCGAAAGTGTAACAGAAAATAAGTAAGGCACGACACGTCTATAGGGCACACAATTTGTTCCTCCATTACAAAAAAACAAGTGCGGCTAGTCTTTAATAACTGTCCGCAGTCGTCATCTTGATCTATTTCCAGAGATTCACCAACAGGCTATACGATACCGGCCAGATCTGAGGCGAGAAGATTGATGAAAAATGAAACATCAAAGAGGCGGTTAAAAGTAAGTTTCTTCTTGGTCTCTAGCAAAGACTCTTGAGAGAGATAGGGTTGAGCTCAGTTGAGCGACCTTTTGTGAGAGGAACGCTCCGTTCGTTTGTGATGGGTGCCAATGCGGAATACGGTCTTTACATTTATGAATCAAATCTCAATTTGGTCCAATTCTTAAGCTACCTGTTTATTGTCATCCTCCATATTGCTTCATCAGTGTACATGAGGAACTAGAGAAATCTGTTGGTGGCATGACTTTATTTGATGGGTGATAAGTATGTATGTCGATAGGAGCCTTAGTTGTGGCTTTCTAACAACTTTAAATATATTTAAAAAAATATGAAGTCATGTGTTCCGAAAAAATATTTGTTCCGTCAAAGTATATAGAGACGAAAAACTTTTTTTAATGTAAAAGTAATGCGGACATATGTAAATGTATAATATAAAAAATTGTGTTAGTTACACTATTTATAACTTAAGAGCGGCTTTACGGATATGGTTAAAAATTGGTGGGGAGATAGTTAGTACCAGGAGACGAACATCGGACATTTAATTCTGTTAAATCGAAAAAAAACTTAATTTATTCCAATAACTGATTATTTATGGCCTCTAAGGTGGAATAGAGTTCGCCTGGTCAGTTGTATATATGTTACAAATGACGAAATTAACGCTGACGAAGTCGTAGGCCAAAACTAGTATATAATAAATAGAATCAACTGCGTTTTACGAGTATACGTTTCGAGTAGGACAAAGTTATAACAAAATATTTTGTACACTTAGCCCCTGGTTTTAGTGGTTTTTCCATCTGTTATGGAGGTGTTCTGTACCTACCTGAGTGTTCCTGGTGAAGCCGTACCCTAAGAACCTCTCATCATGAGCGGGCACGGTGTCCGGAGCCACGTAGAACGGCTCGTAAAGCAACTCGAAGTTAGTCACCGTGTGACTGATATGAGTTGAGAGACTTTCGTTCCCGCCCGAAGACTCCCATCTAGGGGTTAAAAATTACTTACTTAAAACATTTGTAGAGATTATGATCAAAATATGTTAGTTTCTTAAATATTTTTCTATCAAAACTTGTATTAAGATATTAAATCAAATCGCATACTACAATCGTTTTTATAGGCAACCAATATGACCTAGCAAGAAATAATTTAATAATCAAATATTCGCAAGTTGTGACCTTAACACCGCTTCACACAGATAAACTAAGGACATACAATTTCCAGTTTTACTATAACAAATTAGTGGTTAGGTTAGTGTTTGACATACTATCAAGAACTAATCTTCTATCTTCTATATATATAAAAATGGATTGCTGTTCCTTAGTCTCGCTAAAACTCGACAACGGCTGAACGGATTTATCTTATCTTAGTCTTGAAATGTTCGTGGAGGTGCAGGAAAGGTTTAAAAGGTGAGAAAAATTGATTCATTTCCGGGAAAACCCTAAAAACAGCCCTTTTCTATTTCCCATACAAATGTTTTCTTTGACATTAGATTTGACAACTAACTAATATGTCAATCATTTTGTTCGATTGAAACAGGAAAAACCTGAGTATTTATGGCCTCTAGGACGGAATAGAGTTCGCCCGGTCAGCTATACATATATTACTAATGATGCAATTAACGCGGACGATGTCGCGGGCAAAAACTAGTCAATAATATATCTTATTACTCATATTACAATCACTTAAGCAATCAACACTTTAAAACGAAAAATTTAAAAAAAAATTGGATACCATCTGATCTACACTGCAGTGTTTTATGTAGAACTGTGTCAGTAATAGAGATATCATATTCTAATACAACGTGTTTTCCCCTAATTTGTTTATTTTTATTCTATTCTTTTGAATTCATTGAAACTAAAACGTAAAGATGTGTTAAAGATCAAATTTCCGAAATATGAATCCACAAAATTCTAATAACTTTTTACCGAGTCCATTCTCACCTCATGAGATTGCAGTGTTTACTTTACTAAGATTATTATAATAACAAGAATTTGTGTATTTTCATCACCTGGAAAAGTTAGAAGCGTACTGATTATATATGAACACCTTCCTATGAAATGGTATTGCTAATTTATTTCTTGAAAGTCTTAACAGTTCTGATTTGTTCGTTGGAAAATTGGCTACTCTCTTATCTAGTTCATAGGTCGGCACCACGTATGCGCACATATTACACTTTGGAACACTCGACAGAAAGCTGTCCAACGCTTCAGCCATTCCTCTAGAAGGCACTATGTCTACGTCAACCAGAAAAACGTAGGGAGTGTGGCAGTTTTTTCTGGCTAGGTTACGTAAATGATTCTGAGGGTAAGGATGTCGCGCTCTCCACGCCACTGTTTCCGACTTCCTTTCTTCAGATGATAAAGGCGCGACGTTGCAGTTCCTCGCCCAGTGCGGCACATTCGACTGCACGCCTGGTCTCTCTGCCGGCATAGCAACGTGTAGGGCCAACCGTGCGTACACATCGGGCTGACATCTGAACAGCCACATTTCGAAGGCTCGCAATAACCTCAATTCATCACCGGCTACGAACACCGCGACTGAGATAGGTCCGGACCAATGTGCTGCTATACTTAATAACTCGTGCAAACGTTCGATCGAGCTTTGAGTCGCGAGACACACTCTTCGAGTCGAAGAAGCGTCCGCGTACATATCCCCAACGGCCGCGTAATCGAACATTCTGTACGACCTGGAGCCATCCCATCTCCCGAGACGCAGGTCCAGGTTAGAGATGGGATCCTCTTCTATTGAGAGAGGGGCTGTATCAATACAGGGCTCGCAAGTCGGCAGCTCGGGTTGCGGAGTGCTGCGAGGTGAACATGGCGCCGGACTCAGCAACCACAAGTTAGCTACAGCGTTGTAAACAACTAGCGTCACAGCCACTAGTGTTACGATACTCCATTGACAACGCCAACGCCACTGGAAATAGATAAGGGACTATTAACAACTCTTATTTGTAGTACATACAAAACAGGTTTACAGGAGAGTAGGTAAGTACGGAAAATATAGATAGGTTATATTTCAAAAAACAAAGGCTCGAAATTAAGATTACCTATTCTTGAACATTTAGGTTTAGATTAATTCCATTCAATGATTTATTGCATCATATTAAAAAAAGCCAAATGTCATTGAATTTTCAATTTGATTGTATAATTTTGACAAAATAGTCCGTGTAATTATATTCTAGTGAGAATTAATACTCATGTAGTTTGAAGTTTATTTTATCGACAGAAAATGAGAATTGTCAGATATTTCAGATTCTCAGATTTTTCAACTATTAAATCGATTGTAATAAACCGTGAAATCTACATTTTTTCCTTAAAATCCTAATGTCTTATTTATATGTGTATAAACTTTTATAAGAGGATACTCACAATTCTGTCCCTCCTGTTTTTGGTCAATGGTCTTTGTAATTCAGACAGACGCATCTTACGATACTTCTTTCATAAGCTTCTCGTTAGTACTGTAAATAAAATAAATCCAAATTATGTGTAATGCTGAGATTTTTCTTCTAAAAATATTTATTAAGTTTTAATATAAGTACCTACAGTAAAACATTTAAAGAAGCACAAATAATATTTAAAACTATTTAAACAAAATAAATACCTTATATCATTTTCCAGGAAATATTTATTATTTCTAGAGTACACCCGCACCACTATGTACTATATTTTATTTCACTCGTTCAACGTATAACCTAATCTCGTTCACAAATTCGCAAATAATAAAATAAACTTTAAACAATATAATAGGTGCATGACGAGTAAGTAACAAGCAGATTTAATGTCTATTCTCTTTTCAAATACTACTTTACTATATTAATCGAGGTATTATTATTGTGAAGTAATGAAAACACCTTAGTTCAGAGCAGGCATCCAGGGCGCATGTTCAATGTACAGACATGCGCTAAAGTAAAGCATTGATAAGGTAATTATCGTAATAACTTGATATAACGTCAATATTACAAATAATTAATAAATTGCTGTGTAAAGTGTGCCGGTACTGACTTCGCAACAACATTGCTTCACCAAGGAAACCAAAAACATTCCAAAAAACCATGAAGGAAATGTTATGCAATTAATAACCTAATATCGGAGTCATCATGTAGGTTTGGTGTAAAATATAAGCTTAAGATAATGTGATTTTATGTGTACTCTTTTATTAAACAATTAAATTATGATTCTTTATTATTTTATACAGTTTTATTAAGTTCTCGTAGTTCTAAGCTCTGGCTGGGCGTGGCTCACTCTAACGTTACCCTAAAGAATCGTGTTTGATCCATGAAATTTAAAACAATATATGTTATATAGTTCAATATAATTTTAAAAAAATTTTGATTTTTTTTATTCATTTCAAAATAGCAATATATAAAAAATATATACTTTCTTCGACCATTGTAACACTAACTGTCAAAACTACAACGACACTGACATTTAAATTCCATCGGATTTTGAATGTCAAAACCACACTTGTATATTGTAAATTTATATATTATAGTACATATTAAGAGAATCATTTAAAGTTTGAATAAACTATTTCTTTTAAGTTATGGGTAAAATGTTTAATATACCGGAATGGGAAGATACTCCCGACGATATAGTCAGTTTTCCGACGGTGAGTTTATTAATCTTGATTTGTTTACGATTGTTATTTTGAGGTTAAATTGTTAAAGAGTATTGTTATCGTTGCAGAAGTTTGAAAAGGAAGAGCATAAAAATGAAAATAAGGAAAAGGAAGTAACTAAGCCCGTTAAGCTAACGGGGTCCGTTAAACAAAAGTTCAAAACAAAAAACCTTCATGAGAAGGTAAATAAGGCCAAGAATTTAATTAAAACTAAGAACAAAGTGGATATATCGAATGAAAAAACTACAGAAAAAAAGACTGAGAGTTCAAAGAAAAAAGAAAACTTGTATGATACAGACAAACTAGATGAATTGACGATAAACGAGAAAAAACGAAAACTAGATTTATACAAAGAAGATGACATGGAAAAAATATTGTTTAATGAAAACTCAGAGATTGAAACAAATGGATGTATTAAACCAGATAACAATGTAAAAAACAACAAAAATAAATCAAGTAAAAAGGAAACAATACCACAAAAGGTTGAACTACTTAAAGAAAAAAAGAAAAAAAAGAAGAAAAAACCTAAACAAGCAAAAGTAGATCAGGTTCATTCCGATAACAATATTGAAACAGATAATAAAATCAATGAAAAGGTAAACCAACCACAGATTAGTGATAAAAAATCAAAGAAAAAAGCTGAAAAACGAAAATCATCCGTATTAAAAGATGAATCACTAAATGACAGTGAAGATACAATAAAAAGAGCAAAGAAAGTAAAAGAAACAATTGTTCCGACGAAAGATGATAAGAAAAAAGTTATTATAAAGACAATGTTACAGAATAATGTAAGGAATAGTATAAGTGTGAACAGTAACAAACTACGAGAAAGAATGATGGAAAGACTCAAAGGTAAGGCTTGGAAATAATTAATAACAAATTAATATTTTCCGACTACTACTCATATTTTGTAAACCTACATCTGGGTTATAAATCCCAGTCACTGTTGAAGCTCGTCTCCCTGTAACGATGGACCTGACACACACACACAGTGAATACATTGAATGTTAAGAGGTTTTGTCTCTCTTTTTAAAAACTACATACTCCCAATGTTTCAGTTACTTGTAGTTACCGTGATCATAGGCAGACGAGATGTGAATGATTTCACATTAAAGGAATATATTTTATCTTTTGATATAGTAACCAGAAAATATTAGTTTTATTTAAATGAATATTTGACAAAATCTAAGATTTCATTGACAAGTACAAAATGTAAATTGAATATATTAATTACACTGTTATTATAACAGTGTTCAATCTCAAAGATATTTCTCCAACACATGGTTTTGTTATTTAAAAAACTATTTATTCAAAGATCATGCTTTATCATAATATTCTACTAATTTATGGTTATTTTTCATTAAATATAGTATATATATATATATAGGAATAATAATTATAAATTTTTCAGCCGCTCAATTCAGGTATCTAAATGAGAAGTTGTACACTTCATCTGGTTCGGATGCTCGGCAGCTGTTCCAGGAAGATCCCGGAGCGTTCCAGGTGTATCATGAAGGTTACCAGCAACAAGTGAAGAGGTGGCCCATCAAACCGCTGGATATCATTGTTAAGAGGATACAGAAGATGTATGTATGTTTACATCAAGAATTGACTGATTTTTACCAAAGATTTAATATTATGTGCAATATTACTGTTATATTTTGAATAGTTTTTAGTTACTTATTAATCAGTTTTTTATTTTAATACAAGAAATATTTATATCAACTATATTAACATGATTAATCGCAAATAAAATAGAACATATAAGTATTTGAGGGAAGTCTTAAACAAACTCATTATCATCAGCCTATCAAAGGCCTCTTTCTCACATGGAGAAGGTTTCAGCATTAATCACCACGCTTGCTCAAGACGGGTTGGTGATTGCAAACTTATAATTTGAAATTTTAAGTCCAGGTTTCCTCATGTTTTCCTTCATCAGTCAGTGGTGTCTAAATACTCTTAGAAAGTACATATCGGAAAAATCACATTGTTTGCCAGGATCGAACCCGCGCCTTCACGCATGAGAGGCGGGCTTTTAACCACTAGATCACCACTGACTTATTGTCATATACTTTCAGGCCTAAAAGTTATGTTATAGCAGACATGGGTTGCGGTGAAGCAGAGTTATCGACTCGTGTTGGTCAGAAGGTGAGATCGTTTGATCTCGTGTCAACTAAACCCTGTGTGGAAACATGTGATATGGCACACACTCCGTTACTCAGCGCGTCTATGGATGTAGCTGTTTATTGTTTAGCATTAATGGGAACCGATCTCACACAATATCTAATTGAAGCCAACAGAATACTTAAAGTTGGGTAAGAAAAAGTATATAATTATTTTTATTTGTATCATATTAGTCATCTTTACTATGCGCCTGCGCATTTATTTATTCGCAGGTAACTCGCGAGTACGATCATAAATGTCAACTAATTAATAATTTACTAGTTTTAAATAGAGCAAAGACTAAATAAAAATTTCAAGGAGCACAGATAACAAATAATATTTATAAACAAACTAATTTCTTCACTTACTATACATCTAGGCGTCTCGAGAGCTGACCCTGTTACTGAAATAAACTTGTATTTTAAACAACAGATGCAATAAAACAAAGTTCTAATAGTATAGTCTTTGCGAAGTGCCGAAGTACATACTACATACCTTTTAAATTATTACTAGCAAATTGTAATTTTTATGCATATAATATTCTACAGACTTAATCGTTACTAATTATAGAAGAAATTAGATTAAGAAAATATATTTTTGTGGATTGTTTTAATATTTGATCATATGTTGTTGACAGCGGCCATCTTTTGATAGCGGAAGTAGAAAGCCGTTTCCACGACGTGGATTCGTTCACGAGCGACGTTCAGAAACTTGGATTCAGTCTGAAAAAGATTGATAAGACGCAGAAGGTGTTTGTGTTTATGGAATTCACTAAAGTCCGCGACCCGCCGGCTAAGAAAAACAAGCTGCCCAATATGTCCTTGAAGCCATGCGTGTATAAGAAACGATAATAAATAATACAATTTATTAAGCGTTTTATTAATAAAACTAGTTATATGACAAAAACATATTTATTTCATTACATTATTAGATCTCATAGTTTTTTATATTCAATTTCTATCTAAATCACCTGTTTTAAACATAACAATTCATTTAACACATATTATTATCATAGATTCAATTCATCCATAACGTCTTCGGCTTCCGCACGTAGATTTTCCACCTTTTCGATGAGTAACACCTGAAATGTAAAAAAAAAACTACACATACAGCCAATGTGTTTAATATAGGATCTCTTTCCATTACAACCTCCTTGCTCCCGTAATATATGTTTATCTCTCACCCTGGCAGCGCTAATGAGATGTTCGGCGGTGGTTCGTGACAGGTGAGTGACCCCGGCCACGAGGTCCTCGGGAGAGGCGCGCGCGATGTCCTCCAGGCGACGGAAACCGGCTTTGTGTAGTTGGAGCGCGCGACCCTGGACCATATGACAAGAACATTAGGTCTATTATAGTATGACGGTTGTTAGTTTTAAGCTTCACAATTCAAACAAGTAAAGGTTGATTCGATTTTGGAAGTTTAGATCATGATAACAAAAAATTGTTCAGCCCCGTAGTCGAATGGATAAACATTAAAATAGGCAGACCTGGCGCGAAATATGTATAAAATACTGTAAAAGAAAACTTATTTTATTTACATAAGGCTGAAGAAACGAGTGGGTAGTGTTCTTGGGAAAGTTGATTTTAGTAAAAAGACTTATACGAAATCTCTTAAATACTGCCATATTTGCAAACGTGCACATATATTCCAGGACACGTTTAGGCGGTTATTTACAGTTTGTTTACACAATTTATCTTGTTTGGTTGTCCACCTATACCTTCTTGACCGCGGGTAGTTCCATGAGCGCCTCTAGTTCCGGCGCGCCGCAGTGCTTGAGTCTTGAGCAGAGTTCATCGAACAGTGTTCCGTACATCCATGAACCAAGCTCCACACACGCCCGCTGAGCTCCCGAACAGAGAGCCACCGCTGATGATAATAGACTACTGATAGTACCTTTGGGGATGTTGTACCTATAATAACATATGACTATTTGTACTAAGGTACTATTAGAGCAAAAAGCTTTGGTTGTGTGTTGTTATTTTATACTAATTCACAACATTATTAGAAGTCATTTTTGTAAGAAAACAAAGTCATTGTTACAAAAAATCTTTTTTTATGATAAAGTATTGGAGCGGTAAAAGAATTCGATTATCGGTGTCACCATTCGTTTCAGCCTATTTTAATCTCATATATATACATATATAGAACCTTTTTTGGCGATATTATTTTACAAAAATTACAAACCTCCAAATCAGAATTTCTGCGAAATTGCAAAAAAAAGTATGAACAAAAACAAAGGTCTGATAAATTTTGTGATTCCTTTTAAGAAAAATAAAATATATTTCTGAATGTATAGTCTTACTTATCTGAGACAGCGGCGACCGGCATCCGTCTGTAGAGGTCACGTAACATTAACGACACGTAGAACCTGTTCAACACGCTCTCTGATACATTCTGAAACGACACATTATAATATACAATATCTGGTTACCGAGATTTAGGAATTATTAGTATTTATTTTGTGTTTATTTTTTATTTCGTTTAGGCATTTTTAAGTGAACACGTTAAGAAGACACAAGAAAATATAAATTAACAACCAATTTCTTAGTCTAACCTCAAAACAAACACTCAATGACTTTCTGGTACTTAACAACGCTATCTGCTGTTGTGTCGTTAAAGCAATTAGTAAAAGCAATTAACAAAAAGTAGTATTACTATTCGCCAATAGATGTCAGAAAGAATCATATTTTGAACGACTCCCTTTTGTTATTTATTTTTAATTAAAATTTACTAAAAATTATTAAAAAACTAGATCGATTTGTCGGTATACAAAATTTGATGAAAATCGTTGGAGCCGATTCCGAGATTCTAATTATATCTCTATATATACAAGAATTGCTCATTTAAAAGATATCAAAATGACACAAGAGATAATTTTAAATATATAGATGACTAGCAATTAATTCCCATAAATATTAAATATTCATATAAATAGTTAATTAATTTAGAACTTACGATACAAAAATATCATGTCAGTGATTTAGCCAACGGAGACGAAATCTCTCATCATTAATGTGAATTCGGTACAGGCCATTTTAGTAGGTATACTATGTTTATTAATTCGAAGTATAGTCCATAGTTAATAAACTCACAGTAATAGGTTTCCCAGTCATCATTCTCACAGCATTATGCTCCGTGATCCCGAGCACGCCGGCCGTCTGTAGACCCTCTTCATCTAAGTTACTGTACTGAACAAATAATACCATTATATGAAAATACTAGCTGTGCCCCGCGGTGTTAAACACGGATTTCGGGGATGTAAAGTAGCCTATATGTTATTCCTGGACGTCAGCTTCCTGTATACGAAATTTTATCAAAATCCCTTCAGCTGTTTGAGCGTGAAGAAGTAACAAACATACACACACATTCACAAACTTACACAATTATAATATTAGTAGGATAGAGCATCCTGTATAAAGCAGTTCTCAACTCACTAGTGTATAGTAGTGTCTGTAGTCGGGTCTTATAGCTACGTCTTGAGGCGTCACCAGGAACAATAGATGCAGACAGCCCATCAATACAAGACCTTTAGACGCCTGCTCCAATTCCTTCATTAGCTGCTTCGTTCTTATGAGATCTAAACACCCTGTATAAAGAACTTTATGTAATTACCATTATCACGTTATAAGAAGTTCGGTTTGAGAATTTAGTATATATATTAAGGTCGCCCAAGAAATAGTAATTGGTTTTAATATGGAAGAAACGAGAAATCGTTTTTGATTTTGTTCATCTTATATATATTTCGTGTCACAACGTTCGTCGCCGTACCCCTCCAAAACGGCTTGAACGATTATCATGAAATTTTGTGAGCATATTGAGTGGGTTTGAGATTCGGCCAACATCTTCTCATACCCCTTAGTGATAATGTTATTCACCCTAAAATTTTTTTTAAATTTTTGTACGCAATTTTTTGTTTTTATATCTTTATAATGTACCATTAAACAATACATACAACCCTAAATTTTGACATTTTTTATCATCAACCAATATTCTTTTATATGACAAAACAAGTTTTGTCGGGTCAGTATATATACTAGTCAAAATAAAATAAGGGCCACCATGTTTTTTTAGTGTATTAAAAGAAATATGGGATTTAGGTATATGAAAATGATTAGATTAAATTATTTAATCAATTTTTAATGTAAAGAGCAGCAGATATTGTTTTATTATTCTAAAATTAACATCCCTTTCTTTTTTTTTGGAAAAATCGACTTTTTAACCTAAAATTCACCATATGAAAAAAGTGTCTTATTTAAAAAAAAAACTGAACATTTGTTGAAATTTTTATTTTTTTTCAGTTACGTGTGTGTCCTCCCCTTTTTCGAATACATTCTTCAAGCCTCGAAGGCATACTCTCCACCAGGTGTCGTATTGTCTCCAGAGGGATATGTTCCCAGCTTGTCTTTAGCACGTTGAGGAGGTGTCGTTCGTTAGTTACCGGTTGATTTGTGTCACGAACGCTTTTTTTAAATAAATCCCACATATGCTTAATAGGGTTAAGGTCCGGGCTATTGGCGGGCCACGGAAACACCTGTAAACTAGCTTCTTCTAGTGCTTCGGCAGTAGCTCTAGCTGTATGAGCGCGGGCATTGTCATTCATTAATTGGAATCATGCACCAATTCTCTATGAAAATGACACCACGTGGAGTCTTATGACCTGCTCAATGTACCGTTGAGCCGTTACCGTGCCGTCGTTGAGAATTACGAGCTCGGTTCGACCTGATAGTGAGATTCCGCTCCACACCATTACGTTGGGACCCCCGAATCTGTCACTTTCGTGGATGCAAGCATCCGAAAATCGCTCGCCTTCTCTTCTCCAAACTCTAATGCGACGATCATCACTAAAAAATTTCACTTTGGATTCATCTGTGAACAATACCTTGCTCCAGTCATCAATGTTCTAGGCCTGGTGCTGCCTAGTGAACGTTAATCACTTTGCACGATGTACGGATGTCAGTGGAATTCGCACTACTCGTCATCTAGAGAACTGTTGGTCTACATGCAACCGATTCCTAATCGTTTAGTCACTTACGCGGGTGCCCGTCGCTTGGCGCAAGCGGTTTTGTAAGGAACGGGCGGTGACGACTCGCTCTCTGCGCACAGTTAGCCGTATGTAGCGGTCTTCCTGTGCTGTGGTTGCTAGACTCCTGCTTGATCCTGGTCTTCTAGTAACTCTCCCAGTCTCTTGAAACCTAATCCAAGCATTCTGGATTGCTCGCCGTGAAAAACCCAGCTGCAGAGCTACAGAACACTGCGAATGACCCTGTTGAGTCAGCGTTATGGCCATAGTTGTGATCTGTATGTCCATATGTCTGCGAATCCTCGGCATTGTTCTTTAAAAATGATAATCACGCACTAACAAAGAGAATTCCTACTGTTCACCAAGAACTCGACAGTTTAAATAACTCAAAAAGTCGACTTCAAATAGAGTAATTTTTAGTGACTTCGAAAAAAAAATTCATAATCGACCCACTTCAAAAATTAAGTAAGTAATATACTCTCATAATGTTTGTCAACACTTAATGTAACGCCACAAAAAATCTTAACCGGTACCGATAGCTTAAAATTTATTAGATCGCTTCAAACGTCAAATAAAAACAAGTGGCCCTTATTTTGTTTTGACTAGTATATATATACCTTTAACAGCCGCCCGACCGACCGTACTAACAGCCAGTTGTAAGTCATCTTCCTCCACGTGTCCTTCTCTCCCCACCACCTGGAGCGCTTCACTCTTCAACAAAGAACTGATGGACTCCTTGCATACTTCGTCAATATCCACGGAACTAAAACGATCAACTACCTTCAGATATATGGAATAAGTTAAACTGAAGAACCAAGTAAAGTAACACTTTAAACATTTTTTTTGTTCTGCCTACAGTTTACACGATAGTCTTCTTCTTATCAATTTCCCAGCTTTAGCCAGGGTCTGCCTTACATGTTGTGAATAGTTTTGGCTAATTGTTTTTACGACCGACCGCCTGCCTGACATCAACTCTCTTTGGAAATGCATTAATCAGTGATGTCTTAGAAAGTACATATGACTCGGAAAAATCTCATTGGTCCTTGCCAGGATCGAACCCGCGCCCTCGTATATACGATAGTATCATCTTCAATCTAAACTTCAAAGTATAAATCGCTGCTAATTTAATTATAACTTCTATATACGAACCCCTCCTCCGGCGCTATAGCCATCAGCGTAGACTCCAGAAGAGCTTTAAGCGCTTTACGATCTGTACACAGATTGAGGGCCACAGCGCTGAGAAGCAGCTCGTCGGTTGAATTCTTGAGGGAACTCAACGCTGGGGGAATACCCTGCGACAGACGTGCTCGGACCGCGGGCCATTCACGAGGAGACACGATGAGGATACTTTCGCCTATAAGACGAATGCTTTATTATGCTTTATATGTGAAATGTGGCAAACTAGAAGTCGGCCTACTTGATGGGTAGTAGGCAGCAGCCGACCTTGCTTATTGAGGAACAGGGAAAGAATAAGGAAATGGCAGGAAAGGGTTGATTAGGGAAAGAGCAACCGGCTGTCACCCATCGGACGAAAGGCAGCCATTAAAGAATACTTCACGCCGATCTTCTGTAAGAGGGTGGTACTTCCCCGGTCGAGCCAGCCCATGTTTGAGCTGCAGTAATTGACCACAGCTAGGCTCTGCCACCTATATTCATATTAATTCAGGAAGATTTTCAATGAATATTATTTAGTTGGTTACATTTCCTCACCGTCCTCACAGACGCCGGCCCGCCCCGCTCTCCCCACCATCTGTTTGTATGAGCCCATCGAGAGCAACTGTCGGCCCACTAGAGGCGCGCGGACTATAACCCGCCTGGCTGGCAGGTTCACGCCCGCCGCTAGGGTGGACGTGCAACATATTACTGATATCACGCCGGACCTGGTGACGTCATCACGTAGTTACTACTACTACTACTACTTGGTGACGATCAATAATAGAAATTCAATAGCCTGCAAATTCCTGGTGATCTTTATATAAATATGTGTGTATGTCACTGAACTTCTCTCAAACGACTGCACCGATTTTGATGAAATTTTTTGTGTGTGTTCAAAGGGATCTGGGAATGGTTTAGATTCCCAATTTTGTCCGCTGGACGATATTTTATTAATGAATTTATAATTTATTAGTAGTTGGTGATACAAACATTTTTTTTGACATTAGATTTGACAACTAACTAATACGTGAATCATTCTGTCGCACTTCAAGACACGGAGATTTATGGCTTTAATAGGTAAACTCCAAAAATATAAATAAAGAAACGTAACAGATATTTCTTGATTATAGGGCGATACGAAGTTCGCCGGGTCTTCTAGTATAAATTTAAGATTCAGATGAATGAGGTCCATATCAATATCAATTCGAGTCTTGCTATAGACATTTTGAGTGAGAAGAAGCTGTTCTAAGATCAAGTGGAAATCAAAATATCTTGCAGTCTTCCAACAAAATTAAGCTATTACCTGACCTTACCTGAAAGCATTTTCTATGAGTGACCTCTCATCAGCCGAGAGCCCCGCGTGGTGGAAGGCGACCCCCGCGGCCGCCGCACGGACCAGCCCCGGGGCTGCGCCCTCGTTGTATAGAGACCGTTGTAAAGCTACACGTTCCTCAGTACGATGTTGAGACATGTCCCTAAGAAACAGCAATCATATATAGTTTAATTGCTACATATATTATGTCACTCAGATTTTGTTACACGTTACATTATAAATGGAAATATAGAGTGTATTGTGTACTGAACAAAAAACATATGAAAATAAGTTCAGTAATGGGGTGGATATGGTTAAACATTGCATGTACTTCCCAAAATACTCAGCACATGACTCACTTTCTCTGTAACTGGCACAGTAAGGCGGCCACGTTCTCACAGTTCCTCTTGGTCGGACAGAACACGAGGCACGAGCTCGAAGGAACCACCTCCGAAACCAACCCGCCTAGCAAGTCCGGGTCTAGGGACAAGGCCGCGGGGGAATACTATACGAAATAATGGACACAAAAACATTGAAATTAATAACACTCATATGTATCATCAGCCTATCAGAGCCCACTGCTGAGCCTCTTCTCACATGGAGAAGGTTTAAGCATTTATCACCACGCTTGTGCAGACCGGGCGGTGATATCAAACTTATAATTGTGAAAATATAAGTCCAGGTTTCCTCACGATGTTTTCCTTCACTGTATGTCAGTGGTGTCTAAATACTCTCAGAAAGTACATATGACTCCGAAAAATCACATTGGTACTTGCCAGGTTCGAACCCGCGCCCTCGGCAACGAGAGCCGGGCCCTTTAACCACTAGGCCACCACTGATTTAATTTAATTTAGACCCATATAAAATAACATTATTATATCAAAATCTAGAAAACGAAAAGTAACGACATCTAAGACTTTCGCGAGTTTTAGTCATTTAAATGAAACTAATATTTTGCAGATATACTACGCTTGCTTTATTTCTGTAAAAAACTACATACTCCCGACGTTTCAGTTACTTTTCAGCAACCGTGATCACGGACAGACAAGATATGAGTGTCTGTCATCGATTTCTTAATTTTCTGGCGTACCGCTCTAGATGAAAGAGAATCAAAAACGAATATGCAGTTTTATAGAAAAATATCTGAAAAATATTGGTTTCATCAAAACGAAGTAGTCTTTCAATGTATTTCAAATACGTACTTACAAATAAGTACCAAAATTACAATAAGTAAACCCAATTTTGCTAATATCCTAAATAACTCACATCATAAGCCAGTTTTCTATCCATCACCAGTTCCATATCCTCGCGGATCCTGTACAGCTCGTCTCCAAGCTTCACGTATTCTTTAAGCTCCACCGGCCGAAACTGCTTCTCAAATATCTCAGCGTTCAAAAAATGCCCTAAATCCGGCAAATTACCTATCGTTGCACTCATTCCAACTATCTGGATTCCTTCTGTGAAATAAAACAACAGTTATTAGATTATTAGAACCAAAATAACATTAAAATAACATTTTTTATTGTTATTTGAAGGAAAAACTTACTATTTGCGAAAATGACGGTAGTCAGTAATGTCTCCAGTGTACTGCCTCGACCCGCCTCACCTATGAGATGTAATTCATCAACCTGATAACAAATTTAATAATAATATCCATGATTATAAAAAAAAAAAATCATTAATGGACATAATCCACATATTGTGTTAATTATTTCAATAATAAATCTTTATGAAATGAAAGTACAAAACACACTACATAGTTTCAAATGAAGTATAGTTTTATTTCAAAGCAATTTAAAGAGCTATAACACATTTTATAATAATTTTATGTCTTCTATGTATGAAAGTTTACGATGACATATATATAAATCATTGTACTTACAACGATAAGTCCAACTTCATTCAATCTATTAAGTTCTATCAAACTCCTGACCAGAGCCAAGCCCTTCTCTATAGTGGCTATATATATGGTGTTCTTTTTTCGTCTCTTCTTTGGTGGCAGGTGACCCTTTCCTCCAGCATATTCTTCTAATAAGAATTCAAGTTGCAGTGCAAATGGTGCTAGCGCCCATATCTACAAATTTGAAACCTCGGAATATTCTTTCTTACATGCACTAATCAATATAAAGTTATAGTACTTTAGTATATTGTATCAGTATAAAAACCAAGAGAGACACAACCTCTCATCATTTAATGTATTCACAGTGCGTGTGTCTGGTCCATCGTTGTAGTGAGAGGAGCTTCAACAGTGACTGGGACTTGCGACCCAGGAGTAGGTTTAAGGTCCTATCTAATGCGCGTTAAACACTCACTTCTACTGTCCAAGCTCCTCTCTCTAAATAATCAAATTTGAAACAAACCTACTTGGGTTGCCTTAAATGAACTATAATGATTATAAATTACCTTTTCCTGTACTATAGCAACAAAGGGCAGTATAAATATGGCGTTATGTTTTCTATTGATCACTTCTCTCAACATGAGTACTTCAGCGACAAGAGTTTTTCCGCCACTTGTTGGTAGAGCATAGATCAAATTACGTCTATCTCTTATAGCTTGCAGATTAAGGCATTCCTCCTGCCAATCTAAGGAAATAAAAACAATGACAATTACACCTAGTAATTATAAAATTAATATTGATATATGTTGAAGCATATCCCCAAGATTGAAACTTAAAATTTGGACTAATACTCCAGAGAACTTAAAAAGTACCAATTGACTGTAGATTAAATTTAAATTATACATGGGAATAGTAACAGATTTTATCAAAAAGAGCAACTAGTTTTTTAATGATCAAGGTAAGAAAAATCAAAATAACTTGAATAGTTTTATTTACTAAACTGACAACTTACCATAAAACTTTTCAATATTTCTATAAGTTTTAAACAATCCTTTGACAATCATCGGCAGTCCATAAAAACCCTCATGATTTGTAACTGGCTTTGCTTTTGGTACAGGAATTGATTTGGCTTCTGCCTCAGCGGCCAAAATATCACTTTCTCTTATGTCTAGTAAGAATGAATCTTTACTTTCAAAAAAACTTGCATTAACATTAGTACTATTATAATGGCATATCGATTGATTTATTTTATCAAAACTCTCTTCAATTTCGTCTTTAAATAGTTTTTCAGTGTTTGAAGTCAAATGACACACATCATTTTGAGTATGTTTTTCTTTAACTGTTGTGTTTATAACATTTGAACAATTAGCAGAGTCCACATTTTTATCTTTGTCGTTCTTATTATGTACAAAAGAATCCCAATTTATATTTTCTATAAAACAAGAATCTGTTATTCCTGGAGAACAAGGAATCTCACTACTTAAAGATGAATCTGCTGATTCGCCCAATATATATTCTACTTGATTGCACGGCAAAGGAGGCGATTCGCACCTAATATTATTCGTTAAATTAAGTCTTTGGTTTACGGGGTTACTCTTTATAAGAGAAGTATTTATTTTAGAAACTTGACTTATTTTATAACTCTTCTTTATACCAAGCCTTCGTCGCCTGGGAGTGTTTTGATCATAGGGTTCATTTAAAGAATTCATTTTCCATATTTATTTAGCTTATCACAGAATATTTCAACTACCTCATTTTGTGTATAAAAAATATTCAAAACTTAATTTTTTAAAAACATTACACAGGACACTACTCAGTGACATTGATTTAAGGTCTATTGAAGGTTGACGTCTGACAGAAATCTAAATGTGACGTCCAGTTTTAACATTTTACTGCGTTTATTAAAATATTACAAAAATTAAACATACTATATAAAATATGTACATATTTTTATATAGTCATTATATACCTTAAATATTTAGCGAAGTATTGAGTATAATTGAAAAGTTCTAATCATAAATTTTATTGAGTAAACATACTTTTTTATTTTTGGTACAGCCTAGGTCAAATTCGTTACTTTAATAGAGCTTATCGAGCTATAAAAAGATTTGTTGTTTAGGTGGGGTTTATTTTTATACACAAAACAAAAATTTTTAGCCCTTGTTACCTAAACTAAAACTAAATTCTTTTAAAATTGACTCCGCTTTGAAAGACCTGAGAATTATGTCTTGGAAGTATCACATTGCAGACCTTACAAGAAATAAAACGTAAACAATGTTTATTTGGATCTATACTGCATGATATTTTATATATGTATATTACTGAATAATACATTTTTTGTATTAGACATAGAACCATTTAAATAAGACCAAAAAATTTCTTCAACATGAGATTAACAACTGAGTGGTAGTGTCCCGCTATTTAACTTGTTCATTTTTCAATGTATAACAATATTTAATAATCTGATTTAAAGTTTACATAGTGTTGGAACGATGTGAGCCGTAAATAATTTTAAAGATTGATGGAAGATTGTAAGGTGAATTAGTTATATCCAAAGAATTAATGATACATAAAGGAGAACACAGGAGCCACGCCCTTCGCGTCTGCCTGTCACGTTGAATGTGTGCTGAGTTTCGGGCTGCGAAATCATCAGAAACCGGAGCTGACCGTTCTGTTCAAAAATGACCGCTTCTAAATATACCCCCGAGGGGTGGTGCGGGAGGGCGAGGTCCGCCGCGGCGCCGCGGACGCAGCCAGCGCCGGCCAGAGCCGCCTCGGTCGCCGCGGACTCCACATTCCAACGTCGCTTTGCTGCCGGTGCTGTACCCGTGCCGAGTGACTGTGTGACCGTCTTCAACCCGTGCGACGTAAGTGATGTGCAGTGCAGTGTCCTTGTACAGTGTGTAGGAGATCAGAGTGTCCTCGGGAACGGTTCATGAGTTCAAATAAGTTACGGACCGGTGTGGCCTAAAAATAATAGCAGCGCGATCTGTGCCAAATCGGGCGGCGTCGACGCTCGGAAATAGAACTGCCATCTTTAGCTCGCGGATTACGTTACCGCCCTCGTAACACCTAGCACTTGTTATATAAAATTGTAGGAAATTAAAATAATTGAAAGATTTTACATTAAATTACATTTACACTACACACTGTACACTGACTCGCAAAAACATTCATGAAAAACGACTTATGCAAAAATTGTATTTTGTACAGCGACACTGTTTTACAGATTTCTTATTAATATCATAATTCATAAGCTATGACAACAACATTCTTCAAGTGTAAAATCACTAGAAGAATATTTTACAATAGGTCCTCAGAGCTCCTAAGTCATAAAAAGACTTAGGAGCGTTAAATTCACAATTTCAAAATTTAGAATTCAGACATTCAGAGCATCAAATTTCCCCTGAAATTCATTTGTTATAATCGGATTCCTCTCTAACACTGGAGACCGGGTCTTTGAATAGTTGCCAAGTTGCTGCGAGTAGGTGTGCTTAATGGATTGAAAGATAAAACCGCCCAAAATAGAACGAACTTCAAAAACGATTACATCCAAGGCTTACTTAACCGTTACTATATTAGTCGTTGGGATACATAGTATTTAATGACATGATTTATACAATGAACTGTAAACAAATAGAACGGCTATTTTTAGCTAAAAAAATATTTTTAATTAGACCTATATAATCCAAAAATAAGTTGAGTTTATAAGACGAACATTTTCGTTAGAGTTAAAACATATTCAGGATTGCATTGCCACTACACCTTGCGTCACTAGTTTTTCCAGAGAACTGTTTTTTCCACGTGATTGAAAAGTTTTACTAAATGGGATAAATGTCATAACTTACACAATTATTTTACTTACATTCTATAGACAACATAATTTTTTGTTTTGCAGAATAAATAAATCACCAATATGTCTGACGAAGAAGAATACTCGTAAGTACAATAAAATGAGATAAACATTATGATTTCAGTATAATTTTTGGATAAAACTGAGGTAGTTTGCCTTTATCTTTATAAAATACTTTTTCCAAATCTCCTAATATATGTAATTTTACAGTGGCTCCGAGGAGGAGGAAGTAGAAGAAGAAGTCCCGGAGACGTAAGTCATTTTGCAGCTATTCTTCCTAATTTGGTTTTAGAGATCTTTTCCGTTTGATTTGAAACATTCTAGCCTCATAAAGCCTGGAATCTGCCTAGCCTAGACTATTATTTTCGATATCTTGAAACCTTTCGACTGATCATCTGAGTGTCAAACTGATGTGAAATTAAAGACACGGTCACTTTGTGCCCTTCATTTCCTTCACCGTTATCAACTGCACGCACCCACCCCGTTTCTCTCTTTTGTTGCAGGAAGTAAGTGGACTGCCCTTTCGTTGATCCGACACTTGCACCCTCTTCACTCTCTTAGTCTAAGATCTATATAACGCTTCTCGCTCGTAACCCACGCTTTTTAGCTTGAACTAACAAAATTGTGTGACCCTTAGACTAATTTTATGAATTCTACGGCAATAGTTCGTAGAGAATTGTGAAAAAATTGTGAACTAAGCAGTAAGTCTTGTAGTCTCAACGTATGTCGTTGTAATTGTGCTTATGTATGTATATGTGTATTTTCATAGCAGTAAATATATTTCTAATTATATATTTTTCTTTCCCCATCGCTGCGGTTGCGGTTCTTCTATAAAGGCCTGCCCCCAAACAAGAGTAAGTATCATATTTTTTTATTTCAATGAATAATTGCTTTGCTTCTAGTGACTTAGTGACTGAATGTCATAAAATCGGTATGAGATCGTTGTCATTGGATACAAAATTAATATTCTGCACTTGTTGAAAGAAAAAGCACACCGATACTTTAAAACAAATTCAATAGAATTGACTGAGCACATTTTTATTTTGGATGCGCGAAATAATCCTCTCACCGCTTGTTTATTTATATATCTCTAAGGATAAGGAGTAGAACATGTAAGATGTAGTAGAGGCTGATTGTTATTTTCTGTTTCTAGGAGTAGACCATCGATCGCGTAAGTTGCACCGCTCTCTGTGGTGTCACTAACTGAGCAATTCTAACATTAACTCAAAAGTCCCGGGCGCATGTTTTGTTGTGACCGATTCCCCCCATTCCAGATTTATCGCGATCAAACGATCACTACACGAAACTATTTTTATCCTTCGGTAGCCGTTCTATTTTTATAATGACTGCGCCCGAGCCGTTCTGCAAACATTAGATGTCGGTCAACGGAAACTCCACGTTGTCGTTATAATTCCTAAATAATTGCATGATAGGAACAATATTACTAAAGCATGGCTACACGTATAGTATGTCTCCATTTGATAAACCATTTTTGTTATAAAAATTAAATAGATACGTCATGTACAAAATAAAATAAAAAAACAGGCTTAATTTAAAATGTTGTAACAAATTTATTGTAATCCCAGAGCATACATGTAGCGAAGATTATTTAACCGTATTAAGTGTTAACTATGTTCGTAAAACATAACAAAAATTTTGGAAACATTAACGTGTGGAGACCTTCAGGCGTATATCCAATAAGACCAGGATTTAAGAAATAGTTTACCTATAATAATATCACCGTAACAAACCGCTATATGTATTGTGAACTGCTGAAGAAAAGGTCTTAACATTAACAACACCGTCCAAGATTGGTTCGAGTCACTAATATCTTCTTCATTTTACAGGGGCGAGGGAGACCCAGAATTCATTAAGGTATGTGTGCTTGAATTGATTTATCTAAAACTATTACAACATTAGAGTCTCATTGTTTTTTCTATTGAAAAATAAGTACCAGGAAATATGGTTACTTCATAAACATATCTCTCACAGCGTCAAGACCAGAAGCGGTCTGACTTGGATGAGCAGTTGAAGGAGTACATTAACGAATGGCGTAAACAACGCGCCAAGGAGGAAGATGAACTCAAACGTCTTAAGGAGAAGCAGGCCAAGCGCAAGGTAACATTCAAATAATACGGTACTTTGAAGATCACTCATCATAATATGCCACGTTATTTAAAACTAACTCGTTACTGTAGGTATCTCGTGCTGAAGAAGAGAAGCGCCTCGCACAGAAGAAGAAGGAGGAAGAAGAAAGGAGAGTCCGTGAGATTGAAGAGAAGAAACAACGTGACATCGAAGAGAAGAGGCAGCGACTCGAAGAGGCTGAGAAGAAACGCCAGGCTATGCTCCAGGCCATGAAAGATGCCAGCAAGACCGGACCCAACTTCACCATTCAAAAGAAGAGCGACAACGTGAGTTACCCTATTTCTAGTTTCTATTAAAATGACTTTTGTTGATATTTGTGGTTGATTCAGAAATAAAACTTGTCGGATATAAAAATGCACAAACGTATTTATTCAATTAATAGAAAATTAGTTAGGGACACCATTAAAAGAACTGTAAAAAAATAATGCCAACATAACAGCAAAATGGAAAAGACAACATAATGGAAATAATTGGTTGCGTTCACATTATCCAACAAGTTTCCATAAGTTTTATAGTCTATCTCATACTTAATATATCCAACAGTTCGGCCTTAGCAACGCTCAACTCGAGCGCAACAAGACCAAGGAACAGCTGGAGGAAGAGAAGAAGATCTCCCTCTCCATCCGTATCAAACCCCTCGCCATCGAAGGTCTGTCCGTGGACAAGCTGCGACAGAAGGCCGTCGAGTTGTGGGAGTGCATCATCAAACTCGAGACCGAGAAATACGATCTCGAGGAGAGACAGAAGAGACAGGACTATGACGTTAGTACATTTAAAATTTACTTTATATATATCGTTATTAATCATTGACTTATTTGGTATTATCAATTACACAGTTAAAAGAGCTCAAAGAAAGACAAAAGCAGCAGCTGAGGCACAAAGCTCTCAAGAAGGGTCTCGACCCTGAGGCGTTAACAGGCAAGCACCCTGTGAGTATTACTCATTTATAAATATTTTATACATCTATGTGATAAAATAAAATTAATGAATAATATTTATTCGTAGCCCAAAATCCAAGTCGCGTCTAAGTATGAGCGACGCGTGGACACACGTTCCTACGACGACAAAAAGAAACTGTTCGAGGGTGTAAGTATCATAACGATAGAAAAAAACAACTTTCATAGTTTATACATAGAGGTTACTATCATTGTAAAAGATACTGACAGTTAGAGTAAGGATTTAGTCTCGTTATTGAGACATTAGTTTATTCATAGTGACCGCTTTAACACAGGGTTACGATACTCAAGCAGCAGAGTATATGGAAAAACTATGGAAAATGAAGGTGGAAGAGTTCATGAACCGCACTAAAAGTAAGATGCGGAGATGAAGTCATGTTTTTTTGTCCCACATTTGTTCCCACAAGGCATGTCCCGGCATGGTTTTCATCATGGGTTATCAGACTCATGACCTTGTCATATTAAATCTCTGTCATGCGTTATCTCGGTTTATACAGCGATGCACACGCAGGCTGCTCTGTGCACATCTTTATACCCGTGTTGATTGTTGTATTGACCCTCGTGTTAACCGTTCCTAGGACCTTGAGAAACTGAACAAGGACTTCCTTGAGAAGGTGTGGCAAGAGAGGGCCGACCAGTTCGGTGGCAGGCAGAAGGGTAAGTCACTTCCAAAAAATAGGATAGGTTTTATCAGCAGTTGAAGTAGAGGCAAGCAGCTCACATTATTATTCACGATATTCTCTATTGACTTATAAACTATTACAAGCGGGATGTAAGTAATATACCCCCCTCTGTTGTAAATAATTAATTTTATTTCACAGCACCATTTTGTGATATGTTCAGATATTGTTACTGACATGAATTTTTTGTTGATTCCCGTTCTTTTCCCTGAATTCATTTTTGTTTTTTTGAAGAGACTTTTCTCTGCATTTTTTATCTGCACGATCTATGACTGAGACAAACTCTAATAAATAGAACAATACTAAAATCTATTACACTTTTTTTTAATTGTACTGGAAAATCTAAATTATCCATTTAAATATGTTCACTAGAAATTATCAATCAGGAACGTTTTAACAATTCACAATTTCTATCACAAACGAAAATGGTTTCTCAATATTTCTGAGATGTTATGATCAAATACTACTTATAGCGAGACTGCCCAAGTGGTTCGGTGAGCGACCTGGTAAGAAGAAGGGCGATCTGGACTCCCCCGAGGGTGAGGAAGACGTGAAGGCTGAGGTTGAGGAAGAAGATGAGCCAGTGTACGAACCTGAACCCGAGGAGGAGGAGGAGGAAGTCGAGGAAGTTGAGGAGGAGGAGGAAGAAGAAGAGGAGGAAGAGGAGGAGGAGGAGGAAGAAGAAGAGGAATAAGTTAGTTTGACATTGAAATTTGAATCCTATTACAATAGTTTAAAGTCCTTTTTGACAATGTAAATTTTATAGCCAAGCTATTTAAGAAGAAGAGGAATAAGTTAGTGTCACATTAACACGTTGAAATTTGAATCCTATTACAATAGTTTAGAGTCCATTTTGACGATGCAAATTTTATTGCCAAGATTGGTTGAGCTTACTGTTTAAATTCAATGGCAACCAAATGATAAATACATGTAATTTATTGTGTAACGATTACGATGCTTGTTATGGACGTGAGCCAGATCAGACATTTGGAAGGCATTAGTTTTGAACGTATTGGAATTTCAGTGTAGTTCCAAGGAGAAGTTAGTAGTAAAATAGTGTTTTGCTATAAGTAATGTTCCGTGTGTTTGTTCCAGATGAATCCGTTGTAAGTCAAGTGAAGCCGTCGAGCGAGGTCGTGCTGATCGCACTGTTTTGTAACTGATCCATTAACTTATTGCTATTATAAATTATTTTTATTATTTAAACTGTTGGTTCATTTGTTACGGAAAGCGGACGTGTCGATACATCTATGACGTCACAATAAACTAATTTATTTCATAAGGCGAGTTGGTTTTACTCCTCACCCTATCCTGACACATGATGCGATCTAAGATTTTCGAGGGATTTATTCATTCAAATGAAACTTATATTTTTTTTTACTATCAAACACGTGGGATCCTCTTAAAAGTATAAAATCCATTTCCGCGACCACACCGTAGGATCTCGGGACACCGTGAGTGCATTCTGCCGACATCCAGAGCGGTACGCAAGAAAATTAAGAAATCGATGGCGGTAGGAGATAAAATAACAAGACCAACTGAGAGACACTCACATCTCGTCTGCCCGTGATCACGGTTGATGTAAAGTAGCCGAAACGTCGGGAGTATGTTGTTTGTAATTAAAAATAAAAAACGCGTAGTATAAACCAAATAATATTAGTTCCTGTTCTAACACGATTATATCAATCAATATCAAAATATAAATAAAACAAAGCGTTTCAGATTACACATTTATTAATGGAACGCACTTACAATGCATGATTCACATCTATAGTAGCACTGTATATTATAGTCCAAACTTATATTATTATTATTCTGTATATTAATTTCAATAAAACAACATCCACGTAATATAATTAGTCTATATCTATAGTTTAATACACGAACGGGCTCTGTCCTCGACTTAGTTCAGTATATAGTGTATGGTTGCAGCCAGAACTATGATCACGAGGATTATGATGTAGTAGCTCGTGTTCGTGATGTAGCCAGTAATAGCCAGGCCTGCAGGGGTTGTATGTTAGGCGGCCGGCGTCGGGTCCTTGTTCTTCTTGGGGCGAGTCTTCTGCATCATGTTGATCTTGTCGCCGAGACTCAAAGCCATGCCCTGGGAATTTAATACATGTATGAATGATCTTCAAATAAATGTTTTTTTTTTTGGTATATGAAAAGACTTGATGTTTAATGATTTGTTGTACATATAAGGGGATAAAGAACCTAAAAAGTCGCAATCATGTTAGCGATTTCGGTAACCTTAGTGAAAAATCAGATATTTTCGTACCCTTTAACCGTCTAGAAGTGATCAGAATTTTATCTAAAGCGCAAGTATATGAAAAAAATTGTAATCTGTGACTTAAATTACAATAAGCACTGTCTGAGATCTGTCTACTAGGCTCAAGTCCTTTTTGTAAGCTTTTTTATGAAATATTTCAAATAACTAGAAGTGCACTCTATAATCTTATCTCATAAATAGTGATTCTAAAGTGTTTCAAGTACCTTGACTCTAATCAAAAGCCAAAATAATTTTATTTCCGCAAACCTCTATCGTATTATTAAGTTATAATATATTTAAAATCGTATCTCATAAATGGTGTTTCTGAAGTGTTTCAAGGACCATTGCTTTGATCAAAACCGAAATCTTTTAATTTCCGCAACCCTCTTTAGTAGTATTAAATTTAACACAATTTCTTTGAATTTTCTTATATAAAATGACTACAGCTATGTATGATATCTGTTTACTTAATCATGAGATGAGTGTATATAAAATAATTGGTTAGTGTCCAAAAGTACAAAAAAGGACAAAAAATCAAATGGTGTTAATGATCATTCCTATAATGTATATGTCAGTAATAACAGGGTAGTAGAAAATTCCTTGACACTCCGATGTGCAATTAATAACTTCACGAATCAGTATAAGGGTATATAATTTTATGATGGGACAAAGATCAATGACGGTGATGGACCATCAATTGACTCAAATATAGACAATTTAATATGTATTCATCTATGATAGAGTGACCTTCTCCGTTTGAGAAAGAGGCCTTTGCTCAGTAGTGGGCTCTGATAGGCTGATGATGATGATTATGATGATAATAGTGTGCAAGTATCCCAGTAGTATTTTTCCAAGTATAGTGTTTACCTGCGTCTTTGCTCGTATCCTTACGTGGCCCACGACGGGAGCGTTCTGTTTGTTCATGGGTATCTCGATGCTGAGGTTGGCGAGCGCGTCCTCGCCGAATATGGAGCGAGCGTACAGGTTGGCTGCCATGAAGCCGCACTGACCGGACAGGGCCTACACAAGGAGATCATTATATATGAAATTAAGATTGTACACATAACTGCTTTACTAAATGGTTGAATATCTTTATATATATAATTCTTCTGTGAGTGTGTATGTCACTGAACTTCTCTCAAACGACTTGACCGATTTTGATGAAATATTATGTGTGTGTTCAAGGGTATCTGGGAATTGCTTAGATTCACAATTTTGTACGCTGGACAATGTTTTTTTTAATTTATTAGTACATAGTTGTTGATACAAACGTTTTTTTTTTGACATTACATTTGACAACTAACTAATATGTCAATCAATCTGTCGCACTTCAAAACACGGAGATTTATGGCTTTAATAGGTAAATTCCAAAAATATACATGAAAAAACGTAACAGATATTTCTTGATTATAGGGCGATACGAAGTTCGCCGGGTCTTGTAGTAGATAATAAAGATTGTACACACAACTGCTTTACTGAATTATTTTGTATATACAGTATATAATATATATTAACCTTATCGGGAGTGAGACACTTCATGTTGGTGGACGCCAGCAAGTGCTCTAGGTATTCATTCAGCTCCGTGATGTTTGTATTTACGGACACCTGGAATAACCATTATACACATTATAAACATATAAAACAACACCAACAAGTATCTGTGTGTATATACGTGTATGTATGTGTGTGTAAAGTTCATTTCAATAGAAATAGGCAATCTTGTAAACAAACATGATCAGCTGATATTGACAGAGACTTTGGCCTTAGCTTAGTTATTGAAGTATTAATGTAAAAAAATACTTCAATTTGTTAATATTTTGTTAAGTAAATATTTCTTAGTGAGTTTTTTTAATGAGTTTCAAAATGTAACGAGAACACAGAAGAGTTGTTTGCATTCCAATAGCAGTAAAAATCCTTGGTTCCTGAAAAACCCAGGTTCCAAAGATCATGCCATCAAGGTCAATTAGTATTACGAGCTCACAAACGATTTAAAAAATTGTAGATAAGATTGTTTAAAACAGTGGTGGTTTCATAGAGATGTAATTATCAGGACTGACATTCCATTGTACGTAAGAACGGAGTAATCGTGGTCAGTTGCTTTGTTTCCAAGATTGACAATTTATATTGAAATGGACTATAAACCTACCACCGTACCAACGTACGTACAATAGATTAACCACCGAGGATGCCAAAGACCGTGAAAAGTGGAGGCGTTTATGTAGGAAGGCAGACCCTGGCTAAAGCTGGGAAGTTGCCAGGAAGAAGAAGAAGGACTATAAGCGCACCTTGTTCTCCCATTCGAACTCGGCCCACATAGTCCGGAAGTCTGCGTCGCTGCACGCGGCGGGCTGTATGTAGTCCACTATGTCTATATGGATGTCGTTGAGCACTACTACGCCGCGGTCCATTGACGCGCCCGACACCTCGTACACTGGACATAGAAGCAACACACACTTAAATATTGAACATATGGAAGAACTACTAACAAGCCACTCAGACTCAAAATAGTTCAAATTTCAAATGTATAATGATTAAAAAACAAAAATAACGTTTTTATAGCTAAACGAACTGAAAAATAGAAAATAATTTTAATTCAGAGTAAATAGCGTGGGGTGATTGATATAGAATGTTACAATCATTATATTTCCTATAGTGCGTTTGATTTAAGCTGAGCTTTGAATGTGTGAGTGCACATGGATAGTGTAGGTGTGATGTCAAATTATTGAATGCCACATTCTTTTCTAGTTTTTAACCGGTTTATTCTGCTCTTACTTGCCCCGCACCTTCCTCACTTCACCTCAAGTGAAGAAAAATTTGTATTGTTTTTTCTGAATTTATATTACTTAATTTTTTTTTCCATAATATTTTCAAGTGGCCTTTTAAAAGTTTTGCTTATTTTAGTTAAATCTAGAATAGTTATCGCACTTTTGTTATGAATCTATTTAAAATATAATAAGATTTAATTTTAAAAGTTTGTTGTCTAACTCTACTTTTACTTTCACTCATACAAATGGAAAGCTCAGCTTAAGTCTAACGGACTATACCGATGTTTAAGAATAGAATACATGTATATTATATTGTGGGTACCGATATTTCCGAAGATGATTCCGTTCTCAGTAGAGGCGACCTTCACGTGCGCCCTGATAGAAGCGTAGTCCCGCGGCCCCAGCACGATCCCCGCCGGCCTCTCCACTAGACGCAGCTCTCCCAGGGTCGCCAACTCAACGGTACAGTTCTGGAGAGTGTCATCTGGAACAAATTATATATGACACATTACTGAATTTGACAACCCTAGCGGTACACTACTTCTTGGCCGTGACTTATTAAGAAAGGAATGTTTTGTGTTCAGTTTCTTATCACAATGTACCTAATACCATTCTGAAGGGTGTCTTCTGGAAGTAATAGATGACACGACTGTACTTGACTTAATATAGGTACAACAAGTTCCTGGCCTTGAGAAAGATATGTTTAGTTTCATTTCTCAATGTCCCTATATGGTGATTGACTATGAGCAACATTTATTGTATGTCAAGTGATTTAACCCAAAATACAACTTATGTTAAGATTGTTTGATACGGAATTCTTAGATTACTCCTAATTTATATCTTAACTTGATGTCTAAGCTACATTACTTTATAGTATCATCAAAAAAAGTTCAGTATATTAAACATCCACATATATTTACAACACCGATTTCTATCGTATTATTAGAATACACGGAAATCTATGTTGATTTTAACCCCTTATATATATATGTGTGTGTGTGTGTGTATCTCCCGCACCTGTCTGGTTGACCACAAACACGTCCAACACTATATCGTACTGATTGACAGACACCACTGCTTCCGCGTACACCGGGTCTGAGAATCCGGTCAGCTGAGTCACCTTGGACAGACGACCGCCCTCCTCGCTGGAAGGCTTGGTGCGACCTGTAACAAACAATTATATATATGTATTATATATATAATGAAACATTAAGGATAAGATAAGATAAATATACTTTATTGTACACCGAAACAAAAAAATAAAAGAAGCACATATTTGGATGTATACATGAGATGTTTTATAAAGGAGACTTGACATTACACTTAATTCTATAATATACCATACACACTATATTTATTACACTTCACTTGGTCTATACCACATGGTGAAGGTCAATATTACTGTATAGACAATGTATATAATGGGCTATTGCTCGTAATATCAACTATTATTTACATTGATAACAACTAAAGTACTCTTAATTCTCATATCAGGAGAAACGAAGAGTTTGCCACAAAAAATTAATAAAATAAAAAATTAATAATATAAAAATCCTTAGTATGTTAACAAAAAGATAATTATTTATTTATTTATAAGTACACTAACAACATACATATCAAAAAGTTTTACATATTAAAAGTGACTATATTACAATAACAGATATGTACGTCAATAATAAAGTGTACATAACGTTTACCAAATACCTACAATCAAAAAAGTATACACACTAATTATAAAATAAAAATACTAAGTAAAAATAACAAAATTAAAAAAAAAAAAAAAAATTATATAAACTTAGGAAAACTATGAATTGGAAGAAAGATAGTCAATGATTTTCTTTTTATATACATAAAACGAATCACCAAATAGGTCCAGACTTGGTAATTTTTTGCAAATTTCATTATAAGACTTCGCTAACTGCACCACGGGAATTTGGGATCCAAGTTTAGTTTTAACGCGCGGGATGTAAAATGTGTTCGGAATAGAATTCCTTCGGCATTTATGAGGAACATTTAGAAGGAAGCGTTCGACTAGGCCACTGTACTGAATATCACCATTAAGTATTTTATGTAAGAAGCAGAGACCCTGCATAATCCAATTTATATATAATAACCTTGTAACGCTCTATCCAAGGCCAGTTCGAACACGTCTCTGTTCCCAGCGGCGGCGAGCGGCGCCAGGGCCGTGAACGATATGCCGCGCTCGATGGGGACAGACGTGGGCCGGGAGGACGCCTCGGGACGCTCGGCGGAGCCCTGGGGGAGGGGGGGTTAGTGACGTCATAACTTACACTATTATATAGGACGAATAATGACGTAGCTGGCTTATTTCCATTCCATTAAATACAGATAACTGGTAGTTTGTTACTTTATTGTATGTATATATACTGTCGATTAGATGGAATAATATACAAAATGTTTGGGTTTTGGTGTTCATAATTTTGCTAAGGAGATAAGCCACGATAAAAAGTTATAGGAAATTTTTCCAACTAAAAATAATGACGGAAAAAACTAAATTCACTGAGAGAAATAATTGCTAAGCGAATGCATCGTGTTATTTACCGAGTGATGAGGTCTATCGACCTTCATTAAGCGTGATTATGATTATAACAATACATACAATAGAGATAGATATTTAAAACATGTCATTATATTGACGATCAGTTTGTGTTAGTAACCTCAGGCAGTAGGGCGGGCGCGGATCGATGCGGCAGCGTCAGTAGTGATCCAAGCGCTTTCCGTGAACCAGACGTAAGCGCATCACTCAGCACGTCGGGTCTTTCAGCTCCAGCGCGCACACAGCGCACGCCGTGTTCTAAATCATCCGCTGTTAGCACGGCACGGCCATGCGCTGCTAGTAGAGTCCCAGCTAGAGCCAATGCCCTCGCTCCTTGCTCGCCCGGAGCACGTAGCGCTAGTTTTCCAAGCGCGGAACAAGCACACGCTGCGGTGAAACTCTCCCCGGAAACTAGCGCCGCGCTTAAACCTGGACCGCTTTCTGTTACAGGAGCCCTGGTGAAGAACAAAATGTCGTAAAATGCTCTGATGGAGAACAAAGAAGCTCTGGTGAAGAACAAAATGTCGTAAAAATTGCTTTCCAAAGGGCATCGCCCTGGTGAAGAACGTAATCTAATAAAAATTATTCTCCAAAGGGCATCGCCCTGGTGAAGGCCGTAATCTAATAAAAATTATTCTCCAAAGGACATCGCCCTGGTGAAGAACGTAATATAATAATAATTGTTCTCCAATAGGCTAAGTAAATGGTAATGATCAGTATCTCACTTGGGCTGGTTGAAGGCGGACTGCGTCACGTACGCCCCATCACTAGTGACCAGTTGTCGTGAGGGCGCCTCCTTCTCCTTTTCCTTTGGAGGAGCCTCCGCGCCGTCTTTATCACCGTCTTCCTCCTAAACATAATAATATATTAATATACTAGATCTAGAAGACCCGGCGAACTTCGTATCGCCCTATAATCAAGAAATGTCTGTTACGTTTTTTATTTATATTTTTGTTGTTTACTTATTAAAGCCATAAATCTCCGTGTTTTGAAGTGCGACAGAATGATTGACATATTAGTTAGTTGTCACATCTAACGTCAAAAAAAAAGTTTGTATCAACAACTACTAATAAATTAAAAATTAATTAAAAAAACATTGTCCAGCGGACAAAATTGTGAATTTAAACCAATCCCATATCATCTTGAACACACACAAAAATTTCATGAAAATCGGTCCAGTCGTTTGAGAGAAGTTCAGTGACATACACACTCACAGAAGAATTATATATATAAAGATTGTTCTATCCGTATGTAAGTACTAGCTTTCCGTCCGCGTGGAGTTCGGTTATATCGCGTTTCCAAGAGAACTTTTCCAAAGTCTGGGATAAAAACTATCCTATGTTATTTCTCAAGGTCAACTCTATGTCTGTACCAAATTTCATTAAAGTCAGTTCAGTGGTTTAGGCGTGAAAACGTAACAAACAGACAGACATACAGACAGACAGAGTTACTTTCGCATTTATAATATTAGTATGTATGTCTGTGTCTCCTCCCAGGTCGTATATGAGCGTACATTATCTTTCTGTGTTGGCAGCGCAGCCGCGATCACATCAATGGCCGCCTTCACGTTGTCCTCATTGTCAGCGAACTCAGCCACCAGCCACAGAGCGGCCCTCGCTATCTTCCCAACACGGATACTGCCAAGACTCTCCAGAAGTTTCTGTATCAAACAAACATTATATAAAGAGCTGGAACTTTCTTAGGACGTACAGACGACGCTACTACTATTAAATACATATGATTCTTAGTTGGCGGTATCGTAAACGATACTTGTAGATAATTAATACACAAGTTCTTAATTTTTTAATTAACATACGATAATTTTTTAAAAAGCATTGGTTGGATGGAGACGTTTAATGTTTTATACAACTTTAACTATTATTGAATTTTAAATTATGGAAATTGTATTTATTCGAAAAATGTAATTGGATATTGTGTTGTTTTGGAATTAGAATTAATTGTCAACTCCTACCAACTACAAAATAGAAAAATAAGATAGACCTAAGCTAGGTACCCTGGTCAGAGGTATGAAAGGGATGAAAGAAAGAACTAGTGTGAGGAATGAAAGGCCCTAATGTGTGCGAGAACTGGTATGAAAGAATAACCCACAACTGTAACCAAAGTCTCTGACCACGTCAGAGGGAGCTGTAAAAAAAAAATATTGTTGCGGCTGTGTGTCCGTGTGTCCATGTATCCATGTGTCCGCGTGTCCATGTGTCCGTGTGTCCATATATCTCACCGTGTATATGACGGGCTTGAGGTCGTGGAAGGCGTGCAGCGCGTGCCTCGTGAACATGAGCACGTCCTGCGCGGCCACCTCCCCGCCATCCCCCAAAAGCTCCAACAGACCCGGGGACACCGAGCACGCCACCTCCGGGAACTACATACACACACACACATACAAAAAATATATTCATAATACAAAAACATTAATAATTTAATATTGTCTCCGAGCTGAAACATTTTCAACAATAAATAATACTTTAGACTTTTAATTATTTTTGTAACTTCAGAAACATATTTTCTCCTTAATTTTATACATATGTATATTGATTTTATTTATAAACACCTTAAAAATATTTTACTGTTCTAATGATTTATATTTGACTAACAAAAAACTATCTATCTATTAATGTACTTCTGTTAATACACAAATAATATATCGCGTTAAATTTTGTCATCCTGAAGACCTTGCCAAAAAAGTTGCATCATAAATAACACTCTTGCATAGAGTTTTTTTTTATTTGAATGGCACATCAACAGTACATACATTAAGCACTTAAAACTAAACACTTAACTGATGTGTGTACCAATTATAGACGTACACAGCACTGCTAAAGATTACTGTCTAGCTACTCACAAAAATATTATAAAAAAATAAGTTAACAAAAAAAAATTCAATAACAAAACTATTACGAAAAAAATACAAAATACAAAAGAAGAAAGAATATCAAATAACAATAAAGTAGAGTTCATTAACCCGCCACCAGATGTCGCCCTACCTTAATGGCCGCTCGGTGCATGGCCCGCACCAGCAGCTGGCGGTACTTTGCCGCGTCCTCGTGGTCCGCGAGCTGAGCCCGCGACGCCTCTTTTCTTAGAGCACCCACCAGCTCGTCCGCGTGGCGAGGAGTGGCTAGCTCCAGGGCTACATACAACACACTTGATATAATAGATACATGGAAAATACGATGTAGGTGTGAAAATAATATAGAATATTTCGGATACTTTCAAACTATATGAATGTTTGACAAAATTCAACCAAAATCCTTTCATAGGTTTTATTTCATTAATCAGTGAAATATGCTGGAATATGGCTAGATCGTAATAATCATGACTAAAACATAGTGATAGTTATTTATGACGTGGTTCTCTTGTATGCAGAGACGAAAAATACCTTTTGAGAAAGGTTTTATTATCTAACAAACGTGTCTATGTTTTTATATAGCTTGTTCTGTTTGGATGTCCTTCTCACTTCCGCTATAGAAGAAAATTTGCTATTGATTAAAAAAATTATACTAATCTAGTAGTACCAAAATCAACTGTTGCCATATAATTTGAAAATGATGGTCGCAAAATTATAACACTGTCCTCACAAGCTCATCCAATGGAAACCTTAAATGTATTTTTTTTATTTAATATCCGTGTTCATGTTTAAAGTACGTTCTTGGACTATAAGTGCCAATACCGGATATTAGGACATCAAATACACAAATATCTCCGTTGCCTGACAATACACTGTATACATGCCGAGGTCATAGCTCTAGGGAGCAGATGCAGTAAGGACACTAAATACACAAAGAGTTCGTATATATATCGAGGTCATTGCTCCCTACCCAGATGCAGCGTGTGTCGCCGCACGTCGAGGTCCGAGGAGGCGAGCACCCTCAGCACGTCCATGGCCAGGTCGGGCAGCGCGCGCGAGCTGGCCTCGCAGCTCACGTCCCTGAGCGCGGACAGCTTCTCCACGACGATCAGCTTCACGTTGTTGTCGCTCTCCTTCACTATCAGGTCGATGTAGCACGCGGCCGCCGCCTGAAAAAACATGTCACGATCAGTTAACGTCACTATAAACACTAAGTTGACACCAGAAGTTTCAAGTTTAACGTCAGTTAAAGTTAGTATGGTCAGTAGAGACAAAAACTCGAAAATCTCAGTCATGGACATACAGAGTATTATACATGTATGTCTCCAAAACCTGACAGTCCGTGTGATGTGTGTGATGTGTGCAATGACCTTGATTTGTGTGTAATAAATGTATATCTTCAAAACTGGTGTCATGTTCAGTTGTAAGTGTTGTATATCTCATAGTCTCTGTGTGTCTGTGTGTGATGTGTGTGTGTCGACCTTGATAGCGGCGGGAGCGGCGGAGAGCGTGACGAGCGTGCCGGCCGCCTCGTAGCGCACGGCGGCGCTCGGCGCGTTCAGCAGACCGTACACCGTGCGGATGAAGCGGGACCGCTCCGACGGGTTGGCGTGACACACCTGACGTAGCAGAAAAATATATAGTAAGTCTGTTTACGATACAAACAATAATATTAAAATAACGTTCGCTATGATGTAACCAACAGAAATTTATGGTATATAACATAAGTCTGGATCCACACTATACATTAACAATATTATCGTCTTCATCAGGAATAAAAGATGTACCTAACCAATGAATATTAGTTCAAAATGTCCATTCACTAATATCACACAAAAAAATAAACATAGATACATTACGCTTTATTCTATTATTAATTATTATAAATTTTATTAAAACTCCACAAGTACGAGATCGACCTGACCATCACCCAGTGTGTAAGCAGCCTTATCCCCCCTCCTCCTAGTGTATCCTCACCTTGTATATAAGCTCCACTATGACGAGCTGCAGTATGTCCCCGAAGCCGTGCACCTGGTCAAGCCGCTGCGCGAGGTAGGCCAGCGCGGTCTCCTGGTCCGCGTGCAGCAGCATCAGGAACGCGTTCCTCTTACAAGACATGTCCTGCTCCGACTCAAGGAACGAGCCGATCACCTCCGGCGCGTCCGGGATCAGGAACTCGAAGTTACTACACACACAAACACGAAGCATAAATTAATAGACGTCTCTTGAAGTAGATATAGTCCGTTAGACTTAAGCTGAGCTTTGCATTTGTGTGAGTGAAAGTAAAAGTAAAGTTAGACAACAAACTTTTAGAATTAAATGTTATTATATTTTAAATAGATACATAATATAAGTGCTAGAGCTATTCTAGATTAAAAGTAAAATAAGCAAAACTTGTAAAAGGTCAGATGATAATATTATGGAAAAAAAATTAATTAATTTAAAAAAAAATTGAAAAAACTTGAAGCTGAACCTGCTACCAGTACAAAGGGCGGGTGAAGTGCAAAAAGTGCGGGGCGGAGTAAAAGCAGAATAAACCGGTTAAAAATTAGAAAAGAATGTGGCATTCAAAAATTTGACATCACACCTACACTATCAATGTGCACTCACACAAACGTAAAGCTAAATTTAAATCAAACGCACTATATCTCTTTGATAAAAAAATTTAGAAATGTGGAACAAAACAATTAAATTATAGACGACTCTTTCAATGGCCTATCTCTGATAAAATTACTGTATAAGAACGATTTAATTCTTGAGCTTTCTAATTCCTACATTACCTATACTTCCCATTAAATTTTATTTTCCAATCACCCACCTAATGTATCACATAGTTTATAAGTTTAGCATAGGTTGTTTGGTTCAATACAACCTACTAACTGAGATATTGGACTTTCAATAAAAATGAATCATTTCCTTTGACCATCAATATCCAAGACACAATGGTCAAATATTAACTTATCACTTTATATATACATTGCATTTATATATTATTGAATTCAATTCAATATTATATATGTATAACTACTCACTCAAACTTAATACATATTAATTATCAACATTCAGATGCATTTCATTAACGCAGGGATGAAAATTTTGACAAAAATTTATCACATGATTTCAGGAATATATGAAAATACATCTGGTCTTCTGAAAAGTAACCTAAGTGGTTGGAGTATATAGTTTTAAAAAATAATAAAATAATACGTAGTAATCCAAAAATATTCATTTAAAATAACAAAAAAAAAAAATAACAAAATATAAATTGGTATGAAAAATGTCCAACAAACTGACCGGTAGATAGTGAATATAGCAAGCACAGCATTCCTCCGGACATATGAATGTCTGTGTTCCAGACAGGCTCGGATGGCTGGCATCAGGGGCTCGAGAAGCTCGGGCTCCTTCAACTTACACAGGAACCTTAATGTGGAACCACGGAGGAACTCATTGGGGTGTTGTAAATCCTGGAAAAGATAATAGCTTTGAAGACAAGGATGGAAACAAGGTTGAACTATGATTAAAATTATATGAAGTCTCAAAATAACTATGTTTTTTATATAAAATAATCTATTCTATCACTCATCCTGTTTGCATGTGATCATGGTTATTTGAAAGTAACCATTTTTTAAAATAATAAAGTACATTTTATTATATATCAGAATATTAGTTTAATTTCAATACAATCACTTTTATATTGACTTAAATACTGTATAATAAAATAATTTGTGTAATTAAAGACATATTTTTTATCAAATTATCCAATGCTTTCATACAGTAATCACACATCTATAGTTATAACTTGAAAGGTACTAAATATCTATAGTTACAACTTGAAAAGTTAAATGAAACCAATATTTTTCGGATATACTACGCGTGCTTTTGTAAAAAACTACATATTTCCGACCTTTCGGCTGCTTTTCAGCAACCATGATCACGGGCAGACGAGATGTGACTGATCACATTTCACGGTTGTTGAAAAGTAACCGAAACGTCGGGAGTATGTAAAGTCGCGTAGTATATACGGAAAATAATAGTTTCATTTAAATGAAAAAAACTCGCGAAAATCTTAGATCTTATTATTCCAAAGTTTACTATTAAATATATTAGTTATCTATTAAAGATAATCTATTAAAAAGTCAGTGGTAGCCTAGCGGTTAAAAGGCTCGCCTCTCATGCATGAGGGTGCGGGTTCGATCCTGGCAAGTACCAATGTGATTTCGCCGAATCATGTGTACTTTCTAAGAGTATTTAGACATTACTGATTAATGCATTTCCCAAGAGAGTTGAAGTCATGTTAGGCAGACCCTGGCTAAAGATGGAAAATTGCCAGGTAGGAGAAGATATTAGTAATCTATTAAAATATCAACAAACCTTTCTGTATGCATCACACACTAATATCATTTCCTGCAACAACTTGCCGTCGGGTGTGGTCTTGGGGACTATCTCCCAAAAGATGAGGAGCAGCTTCTTGATGGTGTGATCCTGTAACGGCAGCACAAACCTGATGATTATCATCAGCAGCCCCGGAATTTTTTCTCCCGATAGGATGATACCGATAGTTTTCTTAAGAGCTTCAATTTTCTTCTTTATATCACCTTTTTCTGTAACATGATAACAATTTATGAATATAAAGCAAATATTATCTTTGTCACCACATTTGTTATATTTAGTAGTGATAACAAATTTCAATAGAATTTTTTAAAGTAGTGAAGTTTGTAAGCAAAAGTTTTATGAGGAAAACCTCCAATATGTTATCCACCGTTTGTATAGTTATGTAGAAATTAAATTAATATTTTTTAATAGAGATACATTAAATAAAAACGATAATCACATTAATTATGAAATACCTTTAATTGATTGTGATACTTCATCAAATCATCATATATTTATTATTTAGTTATTTAGTTTTATATTAACTTATTATTTAGTTTTATATATTTTTTAGTAACCTAAATCATAAATAAGACTAGAGTAATGAAATATAAACTTACCGAGGTCTACCTTCAGTTGCTGTTCACTATAAGGCTCGGTGTCGGTGGGAAAATTAATGAGAGTGTAGCATGGTTGCTCGACACCCCCCATCTTGCTAAAATATATAAATGCGCATGTTAATATGGGAAAAATATATATGCATAGGAGCCAAAAAGTATAAGTACTTCTTCTTATTTGAAAAACATTCAATATGTCGTTATTGTTAACTATGATTAAAGAATTACACCACTAGTAAAATTTCTCAATAATTTTGATAGAAAGGTAGAAGTATAGTAAAACTCATAGTTCTTCATAGATTTGCTGTGTATATGCCACGAAAGGAAGGCCTTACGAGACTTATAAACATCCTAAATAAAACAATTCCATACAAACAGAGCTCCGGTAGGAGATAGATTTACCTTATAAGTACAAGTCACAGAACAAAACTAAACTGTATCACTATTAAATTTTTATCTTTTAAAACATCCACACTAACAATATATAGTTATGGTGAAATATTTTTAGTTAAATTAAAGATAAATCTTTAAATGTCTAATACGTGTCCATACTTCCACATCAAACATGGCCTGTCAAGAATTTATATTGACAGGTAGGTAAGGACGTTTAAAAATCATTTTTTATGTTATTTAAATTACTTTCATTGTAAAAACATCTAAAAGAATAGTATTTTATGTATAACATTTTTATACGTTTATTTTTAGTAATGTTTGTATATATTTTTTTTATGACTTATTAAATAATTATTATAAAACTTTCTCATTTTCATTACTTTAACAAACTTATTGTATTATAATAGTTCTTTTATATTATAATTAAATAATATTAATTATTTCTAATAGTTCTTTTAAGCATTAGATACTCTCAATAAGTCAAAAGTTCAAAACACGATGACTTTGTTGTCAAATAATCAGCTGTGTGCAAAATGCTTGCATCCGTGCATCGTCGTCTAACAAAATAACTACAGCACTTCGATCAATACATTGCATTGCCGATACCACCTACACAATTTCCAATATTTTTTTATTATATCGGCCAACGCCTAAGTTGATTGAATAACAAGTAGTCAAGAAAAACTTGATTTGTGTTTAGATTTATTCGTTTTCACAATGGATGTGTTGATTACACTTTTCTACATCCTCTTCGCTATCTGCGTCGTCTATCCGCCTACGGAGTTCGTGTCTGCCGGCTTTACTATACCTCAACTATTAGACAACTTCCTCGGATCTGAAAATGTGAATTTTATTGGCTATCATATGAAGAGGATTACGATAACCGCTCTTATACACTCTGCTTTACCGCTTGGGTATGTGTTCACGCTATGGTGTGGAGGTGAAGATAGTGTGTGGATGCCGTCGGCCGCTCTCGCAACTGGTATAATACCCGTCCTTATGTGCTACAAGATAGCTTGCTGGTGGGAACGTGATAAGAAGAAGCATCCAGTTGTTAAGGCACTGCTGCCATATGTGAATGAAGGCAGCGACTGGAGAGTTATAGCTTCTCATTTCAACTTGGATTTCCGAAGGTACATACATTGTCAGAAGCATCTCCTAATATTTTTAGGTGCTTAAAGCTGATCTTACATTAGAAAATATATATATTAAACTAAAAATATTAAAATTACATTTCAGTATCGAAAAAGTATCCATTAACCTGACGGCAACTAGCAAGTTCATAGCTACTAATTCATTCCTAATAAAGGTCACTCAGTATGGAATCAATATTGTGAAACAATCTGACTGTGCCTTGGTTGCTACGGCCGTAAGTTATATATGAGAAATATCAAATAATAATTGAAACAATTACATAGTAATGTATTTCAATATTCCACAGACCGATAGTCACAATCTGACACCGACAGGAGAAGACGAGATTCAATATGTCAATATTGAAGTAATACCGTCAAGAGATGATATCAAACGATTCACATTCAGGATCTCAACGACTGCCTTACGGGACCTGCAGCCAAGACTGGAACGTCCTGTTAGAGTGCCCGACCATATCTCACTCTTGCCAACGCTAATCGAGAGATTCGTTAAGGTTTTTAAGCAACACGTTGAACAAAATCCAGTGTATTATGTTGATCAGGTGAGTTATATAAGAATGATTTTTGTTTATGATAAACATTGCCACCCTTGATTGGGAAAAAGGGATAGGAAAGGATGGGAAAAGGGAAAGGGCAACAGCCTCTCACCCCATTAAAGACTCCTTCATGCCGATCTCCTATGAGACGGTGGTACTTCCCCGGTCGAGCCAGCCCATATTAGAACTGCAGTAAATTGACCACAGCTAGGCTCTTCCACTATATTTGATTTGAGAACTTAAAAAGTTGCTGTATTATAGATATGAAAATTCAAAATACTGTGATATTTTTCCCATCACATAGAGTTATGTGTAAGAAATTTTAATTATTTCAAATTGTACCCAGAAATAGCTGTTTGCAAGCACATACAATTGAAGATTGGTAATTTTTGCTTAATTTAAACAAATCCTATTGTATTTTCCGGGAAGATCTTGAGATATTGTTCAGATTATATTTATAGGATAGGAAAGTTGAATAGACTTGACAGTTATGTTTGGATGTGTAAATTCTTTATTTTCATGTATTTGACAATATGTTAATGAAAATATTGGGACAATATAACATTGAGTAAATGTACTCGCTTCGGCAGTACATATACTAAAATTGGAATGATACAGAGAAGATTAGCATGGCCCCTGCGCAAGGTTGACACGCAAAATCGTGAAGCGTTCCACATTTTTCTTAAGAAATATCTTGTAAAATTAAATTTTGTTGTCTAAAAAGGGCATGGACCCTAGAGTTCATGGAGTTAAAAAAAAAAAAAAAAAATTGAGTAAATGTAATTCTTGAATAACTTATATACTAATAAGTTGTGATTTATCAATAAAATAGGTAAATACTATCATATTTCTGATATGCATTGCAGTAAACCAAAAACATAATTTATAATTGACAAAAGTGCCATCAAAATTGAAATTTAAAAACCTGACCACACAGCACCTAGTGTATCTGACCGTGTTACTTCCATCAAGAACCAATCACTGCTCTGTGATAAATAAATAAGGGATAAAAAGTCATTGTGGTCAAGAGAACCCATTTCTTCTCTATGACTGCATTACAAATAAATAAGTCATGAGAAGTCATTGTGGTCATGTGAACCCATCTCTTCTCTATGACTGCATTACAAATAAATGATAAGTCATCATGGTCATGATTGTTCAACCAATTTATCAGGAGCTGGAGCCGTGTATCGGTTGTATGCAGGCCCCGGCGGACGTTAAACTGGATCGCCTATGTCGGCCGCTGCCTCCGCCCGCCCAGCATGATCCTCCGGCACAACCTACACCTCCCTGCCAACAGTGTAACTGCAGGTATGTGTTGAAACGGTCGATGATTACCTCTTGAGTGTAATATCTATCTTTATATAAAATTTTTGGAACATACTTCTAAGGCAACATTAGTAGGTTCTTTTCAAATTTGGTAGAGGAGCGTAGATGGTGTAGGTGAACGTTTAAGGCTCGTTAAATAGGGGCACCATAAACCTACACCTGGGTCACAAGTCCCAGTCACTGTTGAAGCTCCTCTCACTACAATGATGGACCTGACACCTGTACGGTGAATACATTGGATGCTAAAAGGTTTCATTTCCAAATAATAGTCCTAAATATTCTCCAGATTTAATAGATTTCATTCCTTAAACGCTCAACCTAAGTCTGAGTGAGTATAGATCTCGGACAACCGACAAGGTTAAATTCACTTATTTTTAGGAAAAATCAATTTAAATTTATGATGAGACAAGGTCTTTCCTTAGCCATAGGGCTATGTACACTTAGCCAAAAATTTTGTAAATATTGTGAAGCTTTGTCGATTTACAGGTTTATTGATGAATAATTGATTTCATTACTTTAATGGTATAAGAAATATTATTCAGAGACAAAGATCATAAAAACTTTATTGTCAAAGCTGGTAGTGCAAGATTGTAGAACTATCTGGTTCAAATACATTGATAAGCTTTTTATAGGTCAACCATGTATATCCAAAGATCATATAGATATGAGGTATGTTTTAACAGAGTTCTATGGTGCGCGTCATGTATGGCCCGCTGGTGGGCTGCTCGTGCTAATGGCCCCCCCGCGGGCTGGCTGGCCGGTCGGGGCTCGTGTCCTGTCTGTCGAGCCTCGTTCTGCCTCCTGGACGTACGCCCCGCTCGTCCTCCGCCCACATCCGCCTGACTCAGGGTCACTATCTACCGATACGCTCTACCTCGCACCAGGCCTAGAGCCGACCCTGATATAGCACTCAGACTAGTCTCAGACTGAGCGTCATCGGAGATTACCTTAGACTTACCTTAACAAAGACTGTAGTGTCATTATAAGTGTTTTATGTGGATATTAAAGATCACTCGATGTTATAAAGCAGTTTTGGAACTATATATCTTATTGATTGTATGTGAATCATTCTGCTTTACATTCGCTATAGTAGTGCGTTTTATTTGAATGTTGATATTGATTTCTGTGATGAGAGTTAGTCTTAGTAATGGTACAATAAATGATTGAATGTGTATGACACGTAGCCTATTAGGTATATAAAAATATGTCCTTCGGTTTAGTGAGTATGGAAAGTAAAGCTTTTTGAGATTTTTAATTTTAGACGGTCTATCCTCTTTGCACAAAATGACTAAAATGACGTTGAGATGCGTCAAAGTCAGTGACATTTTAATTTTCTGTGAAAAAATGACAGTTATAAAGCTTAATAGTTTTTTTTGACTAAGGTATATAAAATATAAATGTTAGTATAAGTACCTAATGATAATAACCAAATATATGTGTAATGTATCCATCCGATTATATAACCGGCTATAAGTAGTTGAGTGTATAAGTCAGTGGTGGCCTAGTGGTTAAAAGGCCCGCCTCTCATGCATGAGGGCGCGGGTTCGATCCTGGCAAGTACCACTGTGATTTTCCGAGTCATATGTACTTTCTAAGAGTATTTAGACATCACTGATTAATGCTTTCCCAAAAGAGGGTTGATGTCAGGCAGGCAGCCGGTCGTAAAAACAATTAGCCAAAATTATTCACAACATGTAAGGCAGACCCTGGCTAAAAGCTGGGAAATTGCCAGGTAGAAGTAGTTGAATGTAACGTAGATGAGTTTTAATATAAGTGTTAGAAGATCGATGTTTCTCGTTATGAACATTATATAATCTCTTAATATAAAGGTTGCTTCAAACAAGACTCATGAGTCGCAAATGACAGAATTGTTCCTATAATATTGGAGTCTGCGCCATCTCGTCGAGTCAAGGCGACCTTCTTTTGTATTGTATTTTACATACTATATATATGTATATATATAATTTGATAAAAATATTTTTGTTACTTCCGTCTTTGTAGATTGATGTTTTAAATAAATCTCAATGTTTTATAAGCGTCTTGTTTTATTTCTCATCCACAAACTTCTACAATAGCTGCGTTCTTTCATATTAAACCACCATACTTTTCAATCCTCAATATTAAATTCCGAACATGTCCGGTACATCGTGTTAAATGAAAATATCATATATGTTTTGAAAATACGTTCTCTGTAATTAAAACTCATGGAGGTCGCTGAAAGTAATTTATATTGTACCAGCTGCGGTTAAATGAAGTCAAGTGTCGTGTTCGTGATAAGGATCTTAATAACGGGTCAACATATGAAGCTATGTACAGTTTAAAATTTAAATCAAACATTAGTTTTTCTGAAAGATACCTATATAATTTAGACAGACCGTAGCATTAGCCAAACGTTCTTCTGTGTTTGTTGGGCATATAGAATGAAGTCCTCGGCTGTGGGTCGCGCCATACGACACTTTTATAAAACGACAACCCTGCATGGATTCAAATATCTGTGCTCCAAATATTACTGTGATCGGTTAGTATAGGAACATTATTTTTTATATCTGAATGGATAGCGCTTGACAAAAAGCACTCTTGCTAATGATGGGTAAACTAACCAGGATATGCTAAACGTGATATTTCAGCAATATTTAAAGCATATTTCAATTCGTATTCACATGTTTTTAGCTAATCTATCCTCGAACACAGTAACTGTAAAAAAATAGAAACATCTCCGTAGAAACAAAATTTCAACCAGGAAGTTCAGTTAAAACCATAATTAGAACCGTAGTATGCCTAAGGAGATATAAGATTTATCGCAACTCGCGAGTTTTAAATGTTATGACTAATATTTTTCGAATATACAGCGCGAGTTTGTTTTTCTAAAAAACTACATACATCCAACGTTTCGGCTAGTTTTCAGCAACAGTGATCACGGGCAGACGAAACGTAGAATGCCAAGAAATTCTTCCTCGGACATATATTTGTTACTTGATTGTTCTTGATACTGTCCTCTATAGTTTATTGTACCCATGTTCTATTTGTTCCATCATCAGCGTCGGTTGGTTGTTATGTTGTGTGGCGAGTGCGTGTTGTGCCGGTGTGCTCTGTGCGGTGTTGTGGGCTCGATTCCTTCAAGTGCCAGCAGTGTTGACTCTTCACGATATGCGAGGAGCCAATATACAGATGAAACTACCCACAGTGGCTGTATGCCCTCCGCCTCAAACTGTTGCACGTCTGTTCGAAGAGAAATTGTAAGTGCAGATATGTTTACAGTCAAATTATTTAAATTGTTACACATTTTCAACCTATCAGAGTCCACTGCTGAAAGGCCTCTTCTCACATGGAAATTTGAGCATTAATCACCACGCTTGTTCAAGACGGTTTGGTGATTTTAAAGTAATAAATTGTTACATACATTTTGTGAATTACAGTTCTTCATCAAACAACACGAAACGTCTCTCTACAATTCTGATGAACGTGCTCCGTAGAAGATTTCCATCGCTAGAACAGCTCGGCTTGTTAGAAAACTTTCTTGACAAAGAGCAAATGACTATACAACAAGTTTTAATGGCTGTTGTACCTTCTTGTGAAAATATTGTTCTTAATTGTCGTTGGCAATATGACATTGTGAGTTGTGAGAAACTTTTTAAGAAGGAATTAACTGAATGGGGAGTCTGCTGTGTCATGAGACCAGAGAAGTAAGGATATTTGATATATAAATACAAGTGACAATTTAATACCAGTAGTTTTACGTTGATGCTTTCCGTTTTGTATTAAAATATTTTACTTAACATGAATCGTATCAAACGAAACATTCTTCATTTTTATTTAATGACATATTTTATCTTCTTGCCCAATAAAACTTTTGTCAGTATTCGAGACCTATCAAAGGTATGCGTATCAAAAGTAATCAGTGTAGCAATAAACCATTAGCTTAACCGGCGCGGCGGTAGTTCAGATTCGTTTTCTTATTAAGTCTGAATGTAGACTACAGTAATAGAATAGACTTTACAAAATCCCCTAAATTCTAATATTTCCTCTTTGTCAGGTCCTACTTCGACACTATATCATTTTCGGTTCAAAATTAATCAATTCTATACAGATATCATATTGAGAATAACTTTAAAATCAGCCTGTCTTAAATAAAAGAGAATATTATATCGTTTTTATTTTACTTTTTTGGAGTCCACAAACTACTATACCATTAATATTATTTCAGTGTAAACCTTCCTAAAGTGTCTCTGTACGAAACAACAAGCAAACTTCATATCGCAGTTAAATGTTCTGATGAAGTAGACACAGTGAATGGGTGCCAGGTGAGTTATCATCCATAGTAAAAAGACACTCATACAGAAAAACTTTTTAGAGTTAATTATATAAAGTATGTGTAAATATTACATAATTTCTTTATTAAATCATTTGGCGCTAAGAAAATAAAAAGATTTATTTTAGTTCAATGAAATTTTGTAATAAGCGGCAAGTTGTATTCGTGATGAAAGTCGTTAGATGAAGCTAATAATGTGATGTGATCTTATTATTGAAACAACAGATCTATTAAAAGATCTTCAATATAGCATATTTAAAAAAACGAAAAGATATAGTACTATACGTATATTATAAAAAGTAGTTACTACGTTGATTGCGTATTTTTAATAGTTCTTCACGGGCTATAAAGGAGAGGAATGGGTCGAACCAAAATCTCTGACACCTGGATTTAATTATCTCGCCCAAATGTCATTTACTTCGGTGATCGATAAGGACTCTGATAAATTGGTTGACGGCACCTGTGTGACTACGGAAGGATACACCAAGAGGGAGTGTCTAGTGAGACCTTTGTTAAACTGTAATGTATTCAATATTATTATTTAAATAATCGTATTATTTCCAGTTGAAATGCATTGAGAGAATCTGTGGATGCGCGGACCCAATACGATCACTGACAACTAAAACTCTGCCGTACTGTCAAGTGACACAACTAAAATGTTTACATTCATTTAAAACAGTCAATGGTAATATAATTAATCCAAAATATCATTATCAAGAGTGAATTAAATGGAAATAAAATAGGTTTTTTTTCAGGAAACCATAGCTGCAAATGTTTGCCGTCATGCACCAAAATGATAACCGACTTGTCTCTGGAATCGAGTTTGATGAACGCGATCAATGATACGAATGATAAAATATAGTAAAATATATGAATTAATAATTATATGATTTTTAATAAATTTATTAGTGATAATACATAACTTTTAGCGCGGGTTTGAATGTGTCTACGAGCTCGGTGTTAAGACTGGCTGTCAGAATGAGTAGCTCGAGATTGTTTGTGGTAACACCGACCGAAACCTGGATTACTTTATTATGTACGCCATTTAATATTAAGAATATTTTATTTATATTATTTATTAATATCTTTATCATAATTTTTTTTATTAACAGCGTCCTTGGGCGGCGTCTTCAATATGTTTTTAGGTGTCGGCCTGTTCAGCGCTTTGGAAGTGCTGTTTCTTTTGTGTGTTAGATTGCCTATAGAGATTAAAAAATCGACCGAGATTGAAAATGTATCGCCTGTTCAATAATATTGGCTCATTAAATTATGTGTATGACATTTTGCATCCTTTTTTAATGATTATTATTATTAGTAACACTATGTGCACCATAATATAAGTACCTATTTAAAAAGAAGCATTGAATCATTGATAAAGTATAATATGTACATTAGTTAGTACAATATGTAATAAAGAATAATGCGCCACTTATAGAGTACAGTAAAGGAGAACAGACATTGATCTTAGAACAATACGTAAGGTATTTAAATATGAAGACGATTTGATATGCATGTTAAATAAAAATGTACGTTTCACCCAGACTCATAGTGTGAAATAAAAATATTACTAATAAAATACCCAAAAACTATATTCTTTGTAATAAGTTCTTCTTATACATATACTTTTCAGGTGACACTACAAAATCTAAATGTTAATTTTTTATTTATATAAATCCCTACCAATAATATTATAAATGCGAAAGTAACTCTGTCTGTCTGTCTGTTACGCTTTCACGCCTAAACCACTGAACTGATTTTAATGAAATTTGGTACAGATATAGAGTTGACCTTGAGAAAGAATACAAGATAGCTTTTTTCCAAGACTTTTGAAAAGTTCTCTTGGAAACGCGATATTACCGAACTCGACACGGGCGAAGCCGCGGGCGGAAAGCTGCCTATGACCCATTAAGATGATAAAATGATATTTTTATACTGTTAGCAATATTCTTACCCCTAAATGGCATTGTCACACTAAGTTTTGATAGTTAATATGTTTTCATACATAAATCATTGCAGATTTTAGAATTAACGTGGGTTAAGTTACTCACTAAGTGCTCGAATACCTAAAATATATCTACTGATCTTATTTGTTATGTTTAAAGTACTAAAATCATTATTCTTTGGAGTCCGTTAAATAAGTTAAATAGTTGAAATGAAGAATTAAAAATATATATTATTTAAAAAATAACTAACTGACAAGAACGAGCCACGATTGGTGGCCATGAGTATGACGTCACAATGATACAGACTACAACTTACAATCAAGCTTTATAAATAGATGCGTGTTATTTTAAGTTTTAATTATCAACCTTTGGTAAGTATACTTATAAATGTACTGCAACGCAACAACTGACTTAAAAAATCGCTTTAGTCCCAACTGGAAATTTGCGAAAAAAGTAATAGGTATGTTACCTAAAAAATTAGCTTATTAGATCAAAAAATTTATTACTCATAGCATCACAGTAATAATTTTATTTGAGATGATGCTTTGGACTGACACACTCCGATTTTTGGGACGATATTTTATATTTATTTTACATATGTTACATATTTTCACTGCAATAGTTTCAATGCTGATCTTTCAACGTAACGTTACATCCGAAGGAAAAGAGTCCCACTTTAGAGTTTAGTTTTTTCTATATTTGTACTAGTTTCACTCTAAAACTCTTTAGCCATAGGTTTCTATTTTTTTTTCTTCAGCGGGTCAACTAACGAAATATTATCTGAAGTTGAAGTCAAATCTCTGTATCAGAGTTGCTACGATGAGAGAAAATTAAATAGTTTCTATAGATATAGTCAACGTGTTCACGGTAATGGAGTAAATTTTGTTTTTAGTAATTTTTTTAAAGATACCAAATAAATTAGATATAATAATATTAAAAAATTAACTTTCCATTTAAGACAAATAAAAATAATATTCAAAAGCCCAATTCGATAATATTCAACGATTTATCGGTTGAGTTTTCATATTGACAAATGACAGTTGTAAACACGTGAATGTGACGTTTCAACGAATAAACTATTTGACAGTTAAGTATTCACTTTTAAACTGCTGTTGCTGTAAAAATACTTTACAAGTGCAGTGAGAAAAGTGTTTTAAATTATATTTAAGGTCACATTAAGCGATAAACACAATGTCGTCTTGGAAAAAAGCGGCAAAAGCCAATCAGAAAACACATAAGGAAAGGCATCAGCCAGAAGCTCGAAAACACTTAGGACTATTAGAGAAGAAGAAAGATTATAAGAAACGAGCCGAAGATTACCATGAGAAGGGTGCAACTCTCAAACTTTTACGAAAACGAACATTGGATAAAAACCCCGATGAGTTCTACTTTCACATGATTAATTCTAGAGTGAAGGATGGGGTAAGAAAATAATATGGTTACTAAGCATAAGATGTATCGCGTTTATATGGGAAATATTTGACGTAATCGGATAGCATATATTTTCACACTATATTATTTGATATTTATTACTTATTAACTTATATTGTATTTGATATTCAGGAGCATCATGAAGTAGAAAAAGAGGATGAAGTGACTTCGGAGCAGGTGAAGTTGATGCAAACCCAAGATCTTAAATATATTAATATGAAGAGAACAATTGAGAGCAGAAGAATACAGAGGATGCAGGTTAGAAATAATTAATATTAAATTGTTAATGATATATTATTATTGCATTGGGTATATTCCTTAAATTTTTTCCTTTAGTGACCCGGAGACATAAAAAGAAGTCATAAAGCATCATTCTTAGTTTATCAACAACAAAATGATGTTATCATAAAATTTTTGTGTTATAAGTCGTCTTGTGACTTGCAAGAAATAAGAGCCTTACCCCTCATAAATTCCGTGGTTAAAAGAATGTTACTTATAATTATATGTAACAGTAATAATCAAAACTAAATAACATATATGAAATTTGGAGTATAACATGAGTATTTGTCAACTTAAATGAATACTGAAAGAAATGAATATAATTGAAAAGTATATTAAAAAATAATAAGTTAATGTTCGTTTCTATTAAAAATGATCTAAACTTTTTTTATATAATTTTATTGCATAGAGAGTGTGATTATTTTATTTATTTGACTTTCTTCACCTGTTGCATCAGATATTAATTTAACTATTATACCATTTTTTATGGCAAAAAACCTTCTTTCTAAAATTGGAGGTGGTCAACCCTACATAAGTCTATAAAAAAAACCTAATCATTATAACTGAATTAAGATTTAAATAACAAAATTTATTGTAGTACAATTTTTCTTCAACTGGCAATTTCCCAGCTTTAGCCAGGGTCTGCCTATACAATTATCTGTGTATTATATCAGTTACATATTATTCTTTCAGTCTCAACTCCACATGACCGACGTAGCAGACTCAACGCCCAACACTCACATATTCTTTGTTGAAGAAGATGAGGCAAAGAACTTTGATTTAGCCAAGAGACTCGACACACATCCCTCACTCATCAACAGAAAGTCCAACCGACCGCGGCTGTCTGATCTGGATAAGATTACTCTACCCGAAGTTAATGATGAGGTCAGTTATATACTTTGCTTATGTTATATTACAAACTAAGAAATATGCAAGAACTATTTAAACAAAATATTAAGATCTATTTATATAATATGTAACTTATTAATTTAAATGAAACTAATATTTTTGGTTTACTAAGGATTAATTATTTATTATTTTAACTACATATTCAAAATGTTTTGGTTACTTAGCAGCAACTGTGTGCGTGGAAGAGATCTCACGAAACCTCAGGATTATGTAGTTTTTTAAAAATAGTGTAATGCGCGTAGTAATCTGAAAATATTAGTTTCATTTTAACTAATATTCGCGAAAGTCTTAGATCTCAATATTTTATTAATGTTCATTTTTAATTCAAACGATTTCCTATCTATACAATAACACATTATATAAAGCTCTTATTAATTTCAGTTTGTCAATTCAACCAAGAAAATGAAGGAGCGTACATATAAAGAACTTTCCAAGAGAATAGACAGGGAGAAACAACTGACTGTCGTTCAACAAAAACTGGAAATTAAAAGACATTTACAAGATGTTAAAGTTATGAAGCCAAAAAGAGTTAAACGAGGCACGGCCGTCTCAGCTCCAGTCTACAAATTCCAGTATATGAGAAAAAAATAAAAAAAACTCCATACATGTAATAGTTTTTATTGAAATAAATAATTTTTCCACTTTTTTTAATCCTATACGTATGTTAAAGTTATAATCACATAATTCGTTATCAATAAGTTTTATATGTTAGTTGTCTAATAAAATGCATTTCTTAATTAATACAAACAATGTCATTTTGTACATAAGACATTATAATTTCTGATCTAACTTAGGCCTAATAAATCACATGTTCACTGGTCCTTAAAAATTAATTTATGTCTATGGTAACTTATGGGTAACTCGAGTCTTGTCTTTGGTTTTCTTACATCTAATTAATGTTTACCACAAAACGCACTTGTGTTCCGGGTTCATTGGAGAACCAACGGGACATTTCCAAGCTTCTGAGAACTCCTTGGAATTGCTCAAAGTCCCTATGACTCTTATTTTGTTAGGACTGTGGACACCTTCCACCATTTTGGATTTCAACGCTCCAGTCGTTGAGTTGCCGCACCATATCTATAAACATGCGTTAGATCAGAGATTTCATACAATTTATCGGACGCTTCACTAATACTATGTATGATTAAAATAAAGACGTTGACAAATAGAAACATATTAGTAAAATATTATAATTAGGTTTTTATGTATGAAATACGTCAGTATAACATCATAGCAAATGTTTTAAAATCTGCAGATAATACTATCTATGCATCGAATACTATAGACTCCAAAAAATAAACGTCTTGATGTAGCTCTTTATCAGAGATTCATTACTACCAGGTCTTATATCGTTCACTAAGAGCATGATTTAAATAAACACGTTGACAAATAGAAACATATTAGTAAAATATTTTAATTAGCTTTTTTAGTATAAAATATCATGTCAGTATAACAAATGTTTTAAAATCTACAGATTGACACTTCGAATACTATAGACTCTACAGCATAAAAGTCTTAGACTTATTATCGTCAGGTCTAACATCATCTAGTCATGAATCTGTATGTCTCACCTGAGCGAATCCAAGGAAGAAGAGTTGTGTGGGAGTGTGTGACGGTAGGCCCGGCAGTAGTGAGGCCCGCCCGGCCCGGGCCTCATGCCTGCGATAGGCCCGGAGCGCGGCCCGCAGGCCTCCGTTGTCAGCGATATTTTCTCCCTGAGTATTGAACCCGTGCACGTTGTACCCAGCCAGCTGTGGTAGGCCGTACTGGTTGTATTGTTCTACGATACACCTCACGCGCGCCTGGTACTGCTCCAGAGTCTCACGTGACCACCATGATGCTAGGTTGCCGTCTGAATCATACCTACGACCTAAAGGGTGGGGGGGAGTTATAGAATAGAAAGAAATACATGTTTAATATGATGAGGTCGGTTATATGTTGATGAGTATCTTCATAATAATTGATATGTTATTGCACCATGCAGAAAGACTATTGTAGACTGCCTCGCGCGACCGCGACAAAAAAATTGAAGTAGTACAATTTTAAATTTCGAGGCACTCTTACATTTTGACGTCATGTCCGGGACAAATGAAGCGCCTCGTGTATGTCCTACTCAACACTAGTTGAGTGAATGTCTTTGGATCTATCATACCAGATGCTTTAAATCTTTTCAACACGTTTTTATTAGTTGGGTTGTATGTATGTATTTTAAAAAGCTTTTATTAGCTTGGCTTGTATGTATGTATGTAAAGAAATCATTAAGCTTAGTTTTCACCGGTTTCTAGAAGTCTGAATTATTTGAAACTTTGCATACGTATAGGACCTACATATGACAAGGCAATAATTAACAGTTTTCCATTATCCTTATTTATGATAAATTTTACTAATGCTTTCAATCAAAATATTATTTTCTTAATATCTCTATATCTGTAACATCTCTCGTCTCACCTTGATCGTCGAAGCCGTGAGTCACTTCATGTCCCATGATGGCTCCTATAGATCCATAGTTAATTGCTCTGAATAAAACACATGACTTATTATTTATTGACCTTTGTCATAAATAAGTTAATTTCTTTGTGTATGTCTTCGTTCATATGAAAACTTTCCTTAACTTGTAGAGAAGAGTTAGAATTATGGAACTAGGTAAGTAACTCAAGAATTTTTTTTTCTCACAGTGGAACCCTCAATTCTGAATACGTATTAAAATGAATTGTCACTTATTTGAAGTATCTTATAAATTACTCTGACATCTAATGAAAGCCGTCTTCAATAATGTTTAGGTTTTCAGACGAAAATAATTGTTCATGGTTTTTCATTAATTAAGTTACACTAATTTCTAGAAATCATTTAACCACTTTGATATCAGACAGTAAAAATTTTATGTTATATTAGTACTTACTCAATTCCATTTCCGTAGAAAGGTGGTTGTAATATACCAGCCGGGAATGCTGTGAATAACAGAAGGTAATTTAGAATTTCTTAAAAGTGTAGAGATATTTACATATGCGACAGCTAACTGCTAAGTTATACTCACTGACTGAATTAAGTGTTGCTGAATAGAAAGCATTTACTGTAGTGGCGGTGGCGACCCATCTGGATATTGACAAAGACATGTTAATATAAGACACACACACATATTAGTATAGTATGTATGTAAGTTCCGACCTGTTCCTGTCGGGCGTCTCTCTCAGTGACTCCAGCGACTTCTTGACGGTGGCCCAGGTCAGCTTCAAGTATGACTCGAACAACTTGCCCTCCACCACCTCAACCTATAATAGTATAAAAAGATTATGTAACATATTTTACAATGACATATTTTCCTAATAAGAATTACACGTGTGTGTGTATATACGTGTGTGTGTCCGTGTCAGTGTACAGTGTGTACGTCGCACGTGTTCGTAATGTCTGTTCTGCTTGAATGTGTGTGTGTATGAATGTTTGTGTGTATTTGCGAGTTTGTGAATGTGTATGCGGTGTCCATATATTACTTTTACGTAATGTCTGTCAAGCTTGTATGTGTGTGTCTCACATGTTCGTAATGTTTGTCCAGCTTGTGCGTGTCCATGAGCCAGGCGGGGAAGCCGACGAAGGTCCGTATGGCCCGTAGCTTGTGTAGCGCGGTGTCGCGCGTGCCCTCGTCCATCCAGGGCAGGGAGCGGGCCGCCTCCGCGAACGACTCGCGGACGTCCTCGATCATTTCTATGGCCTGACAATAAACAATGAATCAACACAAGTGATATACCTAGCTATATTACACTACTACTGTAGTATAGCTAGCCACAGTATATAAATACTAGAAGACCCGGCGAACTTCGTATCGCCCTATAATCAACAAATATCTGTTACGTTTTTTCATTTATATTTTTGGAGTTCACCTATTAATGCCATAAATCTCAGTGTTTTGAAGTGCGACAGAATGATTGACATATTAGTTAGTTGTCAAATATAATGTCAAAAAAAAAACGTTTATATCAACAACTACTAATAAATTAAAAAATCATTGCCCTACGGACAAAATTGTGAATCTAAACCATTCCCAGATCCCCTTGAACACACACAAAAAATTTCATCAAAATCGGTCCAGTCGTTTGAGAGAAGTTCAGTGACATACACACTCACAGAAGAATTATATATACTATAGCTACTGTAGTATGAAGGCTACCTTTTCCCGCTCATGTTCATCAAAGTGTTTGTTGACGTAGAGGTAGCTGAGCGCGAGGCCGTAGTTCGCGTTCACGTTGGCCGCGCAGGCCTTGTGTCTGTCGACGCGGGCCCGCAGGCCCCAGGCCGCGCGGCTGAACTCGAACCCGAGGGTGCGGAACACGGAACGGGTCATAGGGGCCACGGTAGAGAACACGCTCCACCATAGGAAACGCTCTAACAAAGGACAAGCCCGTCAGGATGATGAATAGATGTTTGACGTGTTTATATAGTGAAAACTTTTATACTTAATTAACATAAAACAGGGACGTTAGAATGTAAAGAGTGAATTAATATTAGTGGAGGAATGTTGTGGAGTGTTAAAAATAAAGGAATTTTTGAGTGAAATAAAACTAATATTTTCGGATTACATTGCATTATTTTCGCGATGGACCCGCTCTCCCACACTGTGAATCCATTGAATGCTATGAGGTTTCGTACTTAAATATATATTCCCGACGTTTCGGTTAATTCATAACAACATCGATCACGAAATAGATGAAAGTTTTACTTGAACGAAGCTTCGCGATTCTTAGATGTCATTAGGAGTTGTTATGATCGTCATCAGCCTATCAGAGCCCACTTAGCAAAGGTCTCTTCTCACATGGAGAAGGTTTGAGCATTAATCACCACGCTTGATCAAGACAGGTTGGTGATTTCAAACTTATACTTGTGAAATTATAACTCCATGCATCCTCACGATCTTTTACTTCATCAGTCAGTGGTGCCTTAATACTCTTAAAAAGTACATATGACTTGGAATCATCAGATTGGTACTTGCCAGGATCGAACTCGCGTTCTCATGCATGAGAGGCGGGACTTTAACTACTAGGATATTACTGACAAATAGAACTAGATCAAATATATATTACCTATAATCAGTTTGTCTGTGTGAACAAGAGTAGTTGCCAGGCGGTGTAAGTAAGGCAGGTCCATGACGATCACTCGCTCACTGTCTGCCAGAGACACGCTCGTGTTGGAGAACACCAGCTGTATGTACTGCTGCCAGTCGTGCTGAAGATATAAGAACCAAATAATAAACATTAAATGTATGAAATTATATGAATATTGAAGGTCTTTAGATCTTTGTGACATGGATTGAATATAAGTAGGACTAATTTGTTTTCATCTTGTTTGGCAATCATATAATATAATTTTTATAGGTTTTTGTTTTTGGGTATATAGAATTTAAGCAGACGAAACAGTCAAATAATTACTGAATAGATAAATATTTGTTTCCAATATTCTTCTCATCATATAAAACAGAGACGAAACAGTCGAATTAGTTTCTGCAAAAAGAAATATTTGTTGCCAACATTCGTTTTATCATATAAAAGTACTTGTATATAATAGTCTATAGAGAGCATATTAAAGTAATATTTTTCGTCGTCTTCTATATATGTCATACCTGGTGCCACTCAGGAGGAGCTCCGTTCCCTCCCAACAGTTGAGTCACACTGAGCTCGTGGAACAGGTGGGTGCCGCTGCGACGAACTTCTATTGGCGTCATTATCTAATACAAACAAACATCACACATACATATTATTATAATGATAATATACGCTGTATTCTAATCAGGACTTAGGACATTTTAGTACAAGAAGCTCTCTCTTAATAGAATCTATATATTTTTTAATGGGAAAAGGCAACTGAGCAAACGGCCTACCTAATGGAAGGCAGTTACTATTAAAGGTTGGAATAAGAAAATGGTAGGAAAGGATGGGGAAATGGAAAGGGCAATCGGCTCTCTCACTCATCGGACGAAACGCAGCCATTAAAGACTACTTTACGCTAATCTTCTGTGAGAGGGTGGTACTTCCCCGGTCGAGCCAGCAAATGTTTGAGCTGAAGTGTTTAACCACAGCTAGGCTCTACCACCTAACAAGATATATCCCGATCACACATCTAGTATCCTATATAATATATATTCTTACTCCAGCCAGAGTCTTGCTGAACTCTATAATGTCGTGAGCGAATTTTTCGGCATCCGTGTCAGGATGGAAGGCCTTGATCATGGAGGTGATGTAGACCCGGTACTGATCCAACTCGAACGAGAACTTGTCCGCCTGACGCAGGTAACGATCGCTGAACCCGGGAGACACCTGCTCAAACTGAAAGACAATATGGAGTTAGGTTGGGTTTAAAACACGCCTTAATTAAACTTTAACATCTTAACTGCATTTATACTCAATAAATAAGTAAGCGAAGTACTTTCTGAATTTTTGGGCCTAAATATCGTGACATTTTTTAAATCAATTTAAAAACACATCTAAATAGAATCACTGTTACCTTTTGTTAAATATGTATACTTATCAAATAAAGTAAAGCTAACGTCCGTCTTAAAATATTATCGTTAAGAAGACATACATTATGTCAAATTAAACACAATAAAATTATTTGGATCACTGCTTTCAAATAAACTGCCATTGCATTACCTTTATCATACAATTTTTGTGGTATTATTATGATAAAGTTCTTTGTAGGATTATACTCAAACTAAAGTAACTTATAATGTTGTCAAAAACGTAATTCATGAACTTTATTTGGTCCTTGTCATACAGATGATATCTGATGATGAGAATACTTATACAGTTCGTGATTTCCTACCGACATTACTAATAGTGAGCCTTCAAGGGTACCGAGACTCACGAGCGCATGACTTAGATTCAAATATGATTTGAAAAGGATCCAGTGGATTGATTTAATAATGTCGTTTATATGAAGCTTATGTTTTAGTTATAATATTAGAATAAGCATTAATATATTATCAACATACTTAGAAACTCATTATTCATATTGTACTACTATAATTCTTCTTTTTAAAGTTTTATTTATCCTTTTTACCAGAATGCAAATCGAATACTGAAATCGAATCTAAGCCATTTTTGACACATAATTTCAAAAAGACACATATGTAAGCTATGAATATGTATAGACTATACCTAATTGTACTTAATAGAAATCGAATAAAATTCTTTTTATCATCGTAAATTAATTCAATGTAAGCCACTATCTTGGAACAGGCTCTTCTATGTTTCAGTATAACTTAGAAACCATCTTCTTCATTGCAAATGTAGATTTCATCCCTACTAATAATATAAATACGAAAATAACTCTGTCTGTCTGTCTATATGTTACGCTTTCACGCCTAAACCACTGAACTGATTTTAATGAAATTTGGTACAGACATAGAGTAGACTTTGAGAAAGAACATAGGATAGTTTTTATCCCAGACTTTTGAAAGGTTCTCTTGGAAACGCGATATAACCGAACTCCACGCGGGCGAAACTGCGGGCGGAAAGCTAGTATATATAAATAGGAGTTATATTTCCTCACCACGACCCTGTTCCTGCTAGTGTTCCTAACATCCTCAGCAACTTGAATGCTCAGTAGAACACTGAGGCCGAGACTTCTTCGGGCCCGACCAGAGACCTGCTCCCAGGAGAAGTTACCACTAGACACTGCAGGGGGCGTTGGAGGGAGACCAAGTTGTACCAGCAGGTCCGTGATGGGCTTAGTGCCGTATTCCTCTAGCTTGTCTGAACCAATTAAACATGAGCTTTGTAACGAGTTAAGTAAATAAGTGTTGCAGATATCACAAAAGTACGTAAATATTTGGAGATTTAAGACTTTCGAGAGTATTCATTTAAATGAAACTAATATTCAGATTACTACGCGTATTTTACTATCATGAGAAGACGAGACGTGTGATGTGATCACGGTTGAAGCAAAAAACTATTAGCTTCATTTACATAAATATTGTAAATATTAACAATATAAAAGGGATTTAGAAGATATAACAAACAATATGATGAAGAATAGGATTAAAAAATGAGAGAAGATATGACGTAAAAGGTATGTATTGTAATTGTGTCAGCAAAAAATACAAAAGACTTATAGCGTGGCAAGAAGTGCTCAAATGTTTCTTATTATTACGGCGGTTTTTGAAAAAATCAGTCTTTTATAAAATGTAATAACGGAGGAATAGGTCTAAAACTCTGACACTATTAACCAACCAAAACATAAAATAACAATACGACGTCGAAAATATAATAAACTAAACCAAACCCATTATATATACATATAAACAGCATACTATTATTTGAATACTCGTCTAATACTAATAAATTGTAATCTCTACAAAATTAAATTTAGTAATAAAATGATAAACAAATGTTATAATATTTTAATATCAAAGTATGTAATATAATATAATGTTAAAAAAATATTATTCAAGTAACAGAACTTTCAAACGAAGATGATAATAATGATCATTGTATACCCACCAATATCCATACAAGTGCGGTAAAGTGCTTTAGCTTTGAGCACGCTCTTTGGCAGGCCGTCATCATCTTTGTCTTCCAGTAATTCCCTGAGGTCAATGACCAGCTTCTCCCTCAGGATGGCGAGCTGGTCCCAGGAGGTCGCCCACTCCGGGACTGGGTTCTTCTCAATCCAGCCACCGCAAGCGAACTCGTAAAAATCATCGCAGGGATCAACGCTCTTGTTTAAAGCTGCTAGCACTCGAGACGCTGAAATCACGCTCATTATAAAATTTAATATTAAAAATAAACTATATACAGCTCGTTTATATTAGAAAATCTTTAACGTGGACTAAGGAATTAAGTTTAAAGAAACTAATATGTAAATTTATACGAGTAATGAGATCCAATTGTCAGTTTCATTTATAGTCTGTGATGAATGGCGTCATACAAAATATCTATCAAAACTTCCTTAGGAAATATGACATATAAGTTATCCTAATATTTGAGCTACATCATGATAATTTTCATCAAAATAATTCGTTGATTTTATAGAACAGCAACCAATATCTAAACAACTTGAATTTCATTCACCCTCAACGAAAGAATAAGCTAAATCCTTGAGTTATTGAATGATGTATAGAAAATTGATACAGGTGTGGCCTGAGATGAAAGGTGAATTGTATTTGGTATGTTGGCATTTACTCCTCAGTGAAATCTTAATAATCGTATCTTAGCACGAAATACGTTTAAAGAATCTCCAACTTTACAATAAAGGTTAGTGATTATCACAATATTTTATTCATATAATTTATTTGTAAAATCACGATAAAAATTGTTACTATAATGCTTTCATTTTACCTCATAAAAATTACAAGTCCAGTGATTCATAATAAAATTAATTTTCCTCAACAAATCGTTTATAAATTAAATTTCCACGCGACACTTATATATACATAAATTATAATTATTTAAAAATTATATGAATATATTATAAATGTCTGTCATTATGTCGCGTCTGAATGTATTCCTAGTCCTAGTTTGTTTCGTCATAGAAAATACGGAGATTTAGTAGTTTTCATTCATAAATCCGCTCACTTGATAGTATTAACGTAGTTCTTGTACGAGAAACGCGAAACGCATCGTATGTAGAAGACTATTCATACTCGTGCTAAGAATAATGAGCATCACGAAGATAATGATCCGCTTGCATCAGACCCACCACGTGCTACACTACCGAACTGCGTACTATGAACTACACACTACGTATTTAGTACTACTAATTATTCAAGCGAAATGGCGCAGTACTACTCAAATAAATAGAGCGCGTGGAATTAATTGCGACAAATTATATTATATTTTTTTCCTTGTCAATATTATTTTTTTTATATTATACATAATTTTTAGTTACACGTGAATAAAGTAATATGTATATGTAATTTAATAAAAATGTTAATTTTAAACAATTTTACTGCAATTATGACATTAACAGTAAAACCTTTTTTTGTAATTTATGCTTTGGCTACATTCACACTGAATTTTTGGAATATTTTGTCAATTCAGACCCTTTTTAACGTTTATTAAAGTTTTAGTTTAATGAATTTTAATATAATTTTGACTAATATTACAGCTTATAGGTAACCTAGAATAAAAAGAAGAATGTGTTCGATTAAAAAACCATTAATGACTTTATTTTAATCTGTTCTTTAAATAGATTGAAAATTATTTTTCTTTACTAAGTTTTACAAATTATTCAAATAAACATATTTTTACATACAAAAAAATATAGCTATTAAAGAATAAACAATTACTATCATTACATAATAACATGATATTTCCGTACAAAATTTGTCTTCTCAAAACTTTAATTAGTGCATTATTTATTTCTTTCAACCATATTACCGATTTTAATTATTAACATAATTATAAAGATTTTTTTATTTATAATATCAATATTATATATAGTTATCAACAACGCCAAGCTTTTATTTAAATACATTTTTTGCGATTGTCAACCCTTTTCAACGGTTTCTGCTTATTTAAATGCAAGCATCTTTTTTTAAGGCGGGTGACAGCCGTCAATTGAATTTTTATGAATCATATAAAGAGGTTTATCACATTTGTATTATGATTAATAAATTATGCATGTTAATATATTAAATATATTAAAATAGGGATTATTTTTTAAAAAACATTTGAAGTTATTGTATCTCGTCTGTAATAGGTTGTATATGATAATAAAATATAAACAATAAAGAGGAAACAATGCTGAAGTATTATTTTCTCATTTGCGTATAAATTAGCGTATGTCAATAAAAATTTATACAAATAAATAAAAGTGGATTTTACTTGTATTAAATGTCTATGGATTTAAACACAACACGTGTGGCAAAATATATATTTTTTAATTTTTTAACTATCGTCGTGTTTGTTCTTAATAATCTGTAAGACGTCATGACAGATTTTAACGGATCTTTTTCTGGCCGATTAGATATAATAAGAAATATCTTAGAATACTTTTAATAAAGCAATTATATTTCTTTTTATCAATCTAATTCATAATAGTATATTTTAAATGAATGCAATATTTTTCCGATATACCTTGTATAAACGTGCCTTATTTTTGTAAAAAATCATAAATGATTGAAACTAACGAAAGTGTTGGATCTCATTAAATAAAAGTACTTTTTAAGGAGAATAGAGTCGCGGGCAAAGCTATGTTAATATATATGTTACCTTTCAACAGTCATTCGTTATAAGATGTGAACGAGAGCGCGGCTCACGAGAATAAAATTAATTTTTGTACAAATTAAAAATGTTACTTTGCACATAATAAAATATGATACATAAAAAAGTACGATTTAAATTTACGTTATTTAAAGCCTTCTTGTGAATATTTAAATAAACATGATATATATTTTTAATTTCCATATTTTAACTGACACGAAACAATGTTTTAATTCACTAGCTGACAATAAGTATGTTAGTTATTGAGAATTTCAAAATAATAATTTCTTTGACAGTTTGATGTCGTTGACCTCTACAAAATCAAATATCTTGAATTAAAATTAAACTAATTAACAGCTTCAGTGTAATAAAGAAATTTGGCTTTTGGGAATTAGTATTTTAATATTATTTGGATACGAAATGATTTTTTTATAAAAACTGCAAATGTATAGCCAGAGAAATACACGACCATCTGTATACATTTGATTAAAAAAAATGCTCTTATATTGTTTATGTTATGATGAAAAATATAAATAATTAAATAATATTAAAAGTTAAAAAGTAAAGAGACATGTAAAGTTACATATAGTGAGACTGATAAACAAACACTTTTTCCTATATAATATATAGTTACAATAATGATAGGTTTATCCGTTTTTCCACAGAGAGAAAGAAAATTATGTTATGAAAAAAACAAAAATAATTTTTAACGTATCTTTTCATATTTTGACTTAGACAGGAGACAGAAATGACAGTAGTAATGTCATCTAAAGACATCTATAGATATTTTAACATATTGTCCTGGACATTATGTATTATTAGTAAAATGTAGGTTTTATTAGAATTTATAAGTCAGGGGAAATTGTGATACTTATTATACCTATGTTTTTATGTAAAATAATTATAATGAGATCTAAAACTTTAGTGAGTTATATTCACTTAAATGAAACTAATACATATTTTTGGTTATACTACGCGGTTTATTTTCGTAAAAAACTATATACTCCCAAATATAGGTATGTAGTTTTTTAAAAAAATAAACCGCTTAGTATACACAAAAAAAAAAATACTTTCATTTCAATAAAAACATAATAATAATCTTTCATTTATTGATCTTCATTTAAACGGTTCCGTTTGTTTAAAATTAATAATACATATTTCCATATTATTCATATGGCTTGTGGTTCAATATAAATTAGTTTATTATAAAATATTGTGAATTTGATGAAAATTATATATATTTGTTAATTTCATATATAAATATTAAATGAGTTTTTTTAATTTACGATCAATTCTTAATATAATTGTATATTGTTTTTTTAAATTTAAAATATCGTATTGAAGCAATGTTATAAGGAAGATTTCAACATATATTTTAATTATTATATAACACGAGATTATTAAGAGATTGTATTACATATAAATTTAAACTAGTTTCAAGAATATTTGAATTAAAAATATTTTAACTACTTTTTAAAATAATGCTAATAAATAGAATAAGATCTTTCGCGTGTATTCATTTAAATGAAACTAATATTTTTCGTATATACTACGCGTGCTTTATTTTTATCAAAAACTACATGCTCCAAACGTTTCGGTTACTTTTCAGCAACCGTGATCATTAAGACGAGATGTTTCCTAGTATATACGAATAGTTTCATTTAAATGATTATTATGATTACCTTTTAATTAAATATTTTTTTCTATACTTTTACAATAATAATAATAAAACTCCTCACCTGTATCAAGGCATTTGTCAGTCAAACAGTATTCAGTTGGTAATGCGTATGAGAGAGTGCAGTTAATTATAAATAACCAAAATATTTTCTGTAACAGCTCCATAATGACGTGTGTGTAGTGTCTCAGCTGGTGTGAATGTGGCCGAGCTTTGAGTATCATGGGGTCTTATTTTGTAGTTGATCGTATTTTTTACGCGTCATGTTTTATACTATACAGTTAGGGTTGACGCCATTTGACGTTTATGCACTTTGAGAATACGTACCAACTTTTGATGTTAACGAAATTTTTTTACGAAAAAATACTAATTGACATTTGAAATATATATATCCGAATTTTTTTATTCTGTTTTAGTGTGGATTTAAAAGAAAATAATACAAATTTTGAGCTATGTATTGTAAATTTTTAAGATATATTTAGACCAAATATAAATCATACTTAAACGAGAACTTTTTAAATAAAAATAATTTATTATTATACCTTATTATTATACCTTCTTTTTTAATACACATTTCACACAACCTTAGATCGTAAATACTCTTATTAGCTCATGTATTTCCTTACCTGTATTCACGCAGACTTCACTGAGGCAGGGTTTGGGTGTTCTCAGTTCTACCACCACCACGACCGTGGTGTACACTGCCAGTACCGCCAGGGAAAGGCCCAGAGACACTATCACAACCCAGGAACAACGAACAGTACGAGCTCTGGAAACAGATCGTGGAAACATACATAGTATATGGATTTTATTGTATAGGATAATTGTTGGTAGGACAGAATTATGACGTCATAATGTTAAGAATAAAGTCGTGATATCCTAGTAGTTAAAGGCCCGGCTCTCATGTATGAGGGCGCGGGTTCGAAACCAAGCAAGTACCAATGTGATTTTTCCAAGTCATCTGTACTTGATAAGAGTATTTAGACACCACTGACATTGAAGGAAAACATTGTTAGGAAACCTGGATATATTATTCAAATTATTAGTTTGAAATCACCAACGCGGCCTGAGCAAGCGTGGTAATTAATGCTCAAATCTTCTCCATGTAAGAAGAGGCCTTTCAGCAGTGGGCTCTGATAGGCTGTTCATAATGACGATATGGAATTTTATCGAATAGGATAATTGTTGATAGGATAGAAGTATGACGTCATAATGTTAGGAAAAATCTGTTCTTGTTGTGGTATTTTTCTTATAAAACTTGATTTTCCTTCCGTTTCTAACTTATGAACTCTCGCAAAATAAATAGAATGACTCATACTTTATTATTTATGTGGACACAAGTTTCCTTCAATGATTTTCATACTAATTAACATTTCGTTAATAAAAACTAAACTATTCTCGCTATGCGAGTAACAATGTTAAGTGGCATTCTCAGAATATTATCTCGTTTACAATTAAAATTCATATAAAAAAAGATTTGATTGTAAAAAAACAATATAGTCATGCATGCATATTATTGAGACTTTGTAAATTATATTGTTGGCTCTTAAAATGATGTTTTTTTAATATTATTCCGAATATAAATCTTTTAGATTGACTACATTAAACAGAGTTTAAATAGGCCTCCATTTGTGACGTACGAGCTACGAAAACCAAGCCGTGTGAACCAGAAGGTTCCTGATACCACACAAGCCATGGAATGGTATTGCTATCCTAACATCGGGGCAATCAAGTAGTCTGAGGTATAGGTTATAAGTTTTAATATATAGTTCTTATTATAATATACGTATACGTAAGTTTAGTAGTTTTTCTGAAACCTACTCACCCTAACGTAGTTTATTGAATAAGAAACGGGATGTTTGTATGTAGTGTATAACAATCTTGTATGAATATAAGTAGTTCTCGTTTCGTACTATAAAAGAAGTAAGTAGTGTAGTAAGTAGTAGTAGATAGCTCAACTAACAATGGCTTGTTGATGTCAGTGATCGCTTGCACAGGGTAATGATAGCGGGGAAGACTTCACGGAAATTACATAATACCTTTATATAGAATTATTGATATAAAATAATGTTCTGACTTAAGTTAGAAAATTTATTAGGCCTGAATATATATATTATATAGGATAGACTTTTAATAAGGATATTTATATAATAAGGATTTTTATATAATAAGTTTAGACTTTTAAGTTTGCAAAATATCACAGAATTACACAATAATATTTTTTTTATGAATTTCAACTAAATTTTTTCTCAAGATTTATGTATCAATATAAAAATATAATTTATATCTTTCACTGCTTCTTGATCTCTTCTGTATTAGAGACGAAACCTCTTAGCATTCAATGTATTCACGGTGCGGGTGCCGGGTCCATCGTTGTAGTGAGAGGAGCTTCAACAGTGACTGTGACTTGTGACCCAGGTGTAGGTTTAAGGGGCACTATCTAACGCGCGATAAACACTCACCACTGTCCAAGCTCCTCTCTCTACCTAACGAAATTTAAAAAGAACAGTAATATTAACATCAATTACTTATTAAGTAATTAATTATTTATCTAAGAAAATAGTTTTTAAATATGCATGATCTGTTTCCGAGCAACATTACTTGTGGTCAGAGAATCTTACGAGAGAATGACGTAAAGAAATATAATTTTATAATTAATATGGAATATTTTATATTAATAAAATCGAATGAGCAAAAAACAGGTGTGGTTTGCAAATAACTTATTTTGCCTCGTGGTTTTACCCGTCATTGTTGTGTCCTAAGAATTATGTTTGAGAACATTAAGATTTGTGATAAAAGTAGTGACAGTACCGAAAATTCTTACACATAGTACTTCTAAGAAGATGATTGTAACAAGGAAAAACTTTTAAATGAATTTTTATAGAATGTAAGGATATTATTCAAAAATTTTACTAATATATACAGGGTGACTGGTGAATTACCATCGATACTTGAGGACGTGATATTTGACGATCATATATGACAAAATAAAAATTAATATAACATAAATATTAATAAACTTCTAAGTAAAGTTAACCAAAAGTTATGTAATTAATTACGCATCGTGTGAACACCCTACAGATTAGGTATACACACACGTCCACACATGGAACACTTGGAACGTGTCAACACTTTATTTATTTATAAGGAAATTTTGTCAAAAATTAAGTACCTATTTTTTTTACATAATTCGAATGAGAATCATGTACCGAGTATTCTCCTTAAATATTGATAGTAATTCACCAGTCACCCTGTATATATATTGTGTTAATGCAATTATAATATTAGTCGGACAATGATTTATTTGATGTTTACCAAAATATACAATATCATAATATTTATATAATAAGCACTTATATATTATGACATAATTCTTCATCTACCTGGCAGTCTCCTAGCTTTAGCCAGGGTCTGCCTTACATGTTGTGAATAGTTTCGGCTATTTATTTAGGTATACGACCGGCCTGAATGACATCAACCCTCTTTGGGAATAATATTATGCCGTAATTATTGTTTCCTAATATTATTTATTCTTTAATAGTAAATATTATTTAACTGTACTTAATAGATCTATTGTAAACAGATAGTTTGTAAACATCGCAGTTCTTGTAAACAATGTGTTGTAATTAAAATATTTGTATGGCTTGTAAACAATTTTTAATTAAGCATTAAGCTCGCCTCTTCATTGAAAACTTGAGACCGAATTTTTTAACCATATATGTATAAGTATATACAATCCTCGCTTTATAAATAACTAGTTGTTACCCGCGACTTCGTCCGCGCTAATTTCGGAGTAAGTAATATATGTATAGCTGACCGGGCGAAGTGTATTCCACCCTAAAGCTATTAACCAGATATTGGAATTGTTTAAGTATTTTTTTGCTTCGATCGAACAGAATTAAATATCCTATGTCCGTCTCCTGGTTCTAATCTATCTCTCCGCCAATATTCAACCACATCCCTACAGCGGTTCTTAAGTAAGTTGTAAACAGTGTAACTAACACAACTTTCTTTTATATACATATATAGATTTAATTTCTTTGTACTTTATATAAAAAGGTAAATTATAGGCAATCGTATAGAATTTATTTCAACTCCAAAATGATAACTCAGTGCCATAGATAACATTACTCCTTTGATGTATATCAATTGTTATTCAAATATTCTCAACACGTAACACGAACGTACGGAATACGTGAACGTAAACGAAACAACCGTTATTTGTACTGTGAGTTTAAGATTCGATCAAACTGTAAGTTTATCCGTTAAAGAATACACACGTAATTAGGTTTAATCTAAATTTTAGAAGGATATAAAGAGAATAATACGAAAACATTCTTTAAAAAATATATCTACATACACTAAAATACATATTTTTACAATTTTTGTTCGTCTGTTTGTTCCAGCTTATCTCTGATACAGCTGGACCGATTGTGACGGGACTTTTATTGGCAGATAGCTGATGTGGAGTAACTTAGGCTACTTTTTATCCCGATTCCGGAATTAAGCGTTATCAATCCCTAGTTGGAGGCGGGGCGCAAGCGGCGCTTAAATGTTTTTCATTGTTTTTTGTTCATTATTGAACAGACAGAGTTGCGGGTAACAGCTAGTATATAATATACATATATATAGCGTCGTATTACGTTGAAAAATTAATGACTATTTTAAAGGAGTATGTCACACTGTTCTTATTTGTTTGTGGATCATGTAACTGTTACAACAAATCTTTTGTTTCGACTATAACTGTTATCCTTATTCCTATACACCTAATGTAACGGATTTTATTGTGAGCGCGGTTCTAACGGTAATATACAACTAATAATTACGATCTGATATTGATTTCTATAGAATTATATTAATATTGTTGTTCCGTGGTCGGGTTATTGACCTTTGTGTGGGTGTGAACCTAAATTTGGGGGTCGATGATCTTAAATGATTACAGATATATCTTAACGGGACGTCAGTTGATGTGACTGTCATGCTTTATAAGGGGTTGGATACTGAATCATGATTCGATTGACGCATTATACCTAAGGTTGTGATGGCTTAGAGGTTAAAGGCCCGCCTCTTGTGAGGGCGCGGGTTCGAAACATGACAAGTACTAATGTGATTTTAGAGTCATATGTACTTTCAAAAGTACTTAAGACACTAGAGACAGACTGTGAAGGAAAATATCGTGAGGAAACGACGACTTATAATTTCTAGTTATAAGTTTAAGTCAGTGGCGGTCTAGTGGTTAAAGGGGCCCGCCTCCCCTTGCCGAGGGCGCGGGTTCGATCCTGGCAAGTACCAATGTAATTTTTCTGAGTCATATGTTCTTTCTAAGAGTATTTAGACATCACTGACAGACGGTGAAGGAAATCATCGGGAGGAAACCTGGACTTATAATTTCACAATTATAAGTTTGAAATCACCAACCCGTCTTGAGCAAGCTAAGCGTGATGATTAATGCTCAAAGCTTCCCCATGCAAGAATAGGCCTTTGTTCAGCAGTGGGCTCTGATAGGCCGATGATGATTATAATTGAAATTAAAGTAGTCGTTTATTAATAAAAGCTCATATCAGTTTTTATAACTAAGATTATTTACTGTTCTAACAAATAATTTAATTATTATATTTAGATTCATTTCGCTTCTAAAATGTCAAGATATTGCTCTTACAAGTTTAAATATATCTTTCTTTTATAATATAAATTTATTATATAAAACTATTTTACTTATATTGTGAAGTTTAATTAACTTTCCAAGACTCCTTAGTACTATATTCATCT